ACAGGACTTGGCACCTGCACACAGTGCCAAAGCTACCAGTACCTGGTTGAAGGACCATGGTATCCCTGTTCTTAATTGGCCAGCAAACTCTCCTGACCTTAACCCCATAGAAAATCTATGGGGTATTGTGAAGAAGAAGATGCAATGCACCAGACCCAACAATTCAGAAGAGCTAAAAGCCACTATTAGAGCAACCTGGGCTATCATAACACCTGAGCAGTGCCACAGACTGATCGACTCCATGCCACGCCGCATTGCTGCAGTAATACAGGCCAAAGGAGGCCCAACTAAATACTGAGTGCTGTACATGCTCATACTTTTCATGTTCATACTTTTCAGTTGGCCAACATTTCTATAAATCCTTTGTTTTTATTGGTCTTCAGTAATATTCTAATTTTCTGATATGATGAATTTGAGATTTTCATTTGTTGTCATTTGTAATCATCAAAATTAAACAAAATAAACATCTGAAATATATGAGTTTGTATGTAATGTATGAATATAATATACAAGTTTCACTTTTTAAATGGAATTACTGAAATCAATCTACTTTTTCATGATATTCTAATTTTATGACCAGCACCTGTATATTATATTATATATAAGGGTCATATTTTTTGTTCTTTTTCAAAAGTTGAAGAAGTTAGTCTAAGTTTTGACCTAGTTTTTGACCTGCCTACATTTTCCTTAAGATTCAAAAGAACAAATACAATATTTGAAGAAAAATGTATAAATATACATCAGCATTCACAAAAAAGAGCAAAATAGTTGAGAGAGAATACATATGTTATAGGAAATCAAAATTGCATTTGACAGCAAAACAGATTAAAACTGCAGAAAAAAAAAATCTAAAGGTTGATTTTTAGAAACTCAGAATACTTTTATATTGGAGTTTTATTGTATTTTACTTTTCAGGGCATCTAGTCAATTCAATGACTCTTGGAAATACAATTTTTTAGTTTGGTCATTTATGATAAAGTTGGTTGGTTACTGTATTCAAATAATATAGCAATGTAAAGGTAATTAAAAGATACTCATTACAACTCAATGGCCTAACGACAATAGGCCCGTAAGCAACATTATTTGGGTGAGCCCCATACGAAGTACAACACTCTGGGTTACCCTTAATACCAAATCGTAGTGTAAAAAATAAATTACCCAAATACATTGTTCTTTTAAGATCTTTATTGCAGTTTGAAACATATTATATGAGCATATATTTTTTTACCAACCTTCTAATGAATTATACACAGTTATTAACAAATTAAAAGTACCACTGTCAGCTTTGCTATTGGTGTCGTGTTTAAACGGCTCACCATCACGTTGAAATCTGGCATGTCTTGGGGTATAATTAAGGTCCGGTCAGTCATCTTAAAATCAGGTGGGTTTAAAAGAAATTTTTCGCACCATTAAGGCCCCGTCCACACGAAGTCAAACCCTGGCCTAAACGCACAAATTTGTCACCAAACCAGCCTCTCATCCATACAAAGCCGGCGTTTCGGGGGTCTGTAAACGACCTTTTTTTTATTATGCCTTCAGAGTGGGAAGATTTTTAAATGCCGTTTTCGCGTTTCCATCTTTAAGCTCTAACCACATTTTTTTTCTTACACGCATGCGTCATAGCGTTGCCTCTAAACACGCATGCGTGACACAGTATCACAACAACTGTGTTGAATGGTTGCTGCTCATGCTGCTCACCCTGCTGTCGGGCTTACAACAGAATCTTCTTCTTCTGGAATATCTCCAGGAAGAACAGAGCAATATCGACGACATAGTTCAGCACCTGAATTTGACTGAACCACGAAAATGGACCCGCAGGGCCATTTTCCGGTTTGGTTGTTGTATAAATATTACTGCGCATGCCCAACATTTCGTTGCCTGTTTTCGCCTATTTTTGCTTTGGCACCACAGCGCCACTTACAGGCCTGGAATACATTTTGCAGCGTTTTAATGCATTCGTGTGGTCGATCACATTTATTTTACGTCTCCGTCTTTACGACAAACGTTCTGGAAAATATTAGCGTTTCGTGTTCGTTTTGACTTTGTGTGGACGGGGCCTCAGTCTGCATTTAGACGTCCTAGTCCACAATTGCGAAAGGGGCCTTCCAGGTGTCATTGACGGTGCCCGTAAGAGTTCGGGGCCTGTAAACAACTGCAGTCTCTGCTTACCGATAATTATGCTATCGTTACAACGTATTACTTTATAAACAGAAGCCTTGTAATTTCATTTAGACTAAGTGTTTTTACCATTAATGCTGAAACAGTTCATTAGATTAATTTAGACTAGATTATGATTAATTGATTAGAGCATCCTAACCTTCTATGCAGCACAACATTTACATAATAATGCAAAGATGACCTGAGTTAGATATATTTCTGTCTATATATGAACATGCCCTCGGTGGGGCTGGAGATTTGTATCACAAGTCTAACTAGTTTAACGCCACAATGTGAACATCTATTTCCTCCAGTGTTTTTATTTCAACAGCTTGAAACTTCTTACCTAATTAGACTTAATTAAGAAACTTTAAACTGTCCTACAAATTACCACATCTGTTTACCCTTTGCTAATTAAGCCCCACCCCCACCTGGTGCCTGTAATTTTAAAAAATCTGTCACTATGTTAGAACAAAACAGAATCTAATCCTTTATGATAATACTATTTTCACAAAAATAAATTCTATATTTTCCACTTGTTAAATTAATGTGCATCATTAAGAAACAGATGAGAATCGACTAGCATACTAAATATGCTAAAAAAAAAAAAAATGTGATTGTGAAATTTGAACACTCCATTGTCCTCCAACTTCCCCCACAGCAGTTCTGGTCTGATGGTGTTAAAAGCGCTGGAAAAGTTATAGAACATGAGTATCACTGTGCTCCCGGTGGTCTCCAGGTGAATACAGTAAGTGCCCGCTGCAGTAGGTAGTGCCAGCAGGTAGACGATGGCATCCTCCACTCCGGTACACTGAAATGCTTTCGAGATGTTTACAGAAACATTTCAGGTACAGTGTCTTTTGAGGATTATTTGTCTCTTAAGAGTAGTGTTCATTTATCTATTGCCTTTTCCCCACTGAAATTAATGGGTTAACCTTGGTTTGAAAAACCCAGGTCGACCAGCCAATAATCTGCATTTGGATCCCTTCTCATTGGCAAAAAAGGTTGGTGTAATCCCCTGCTTGCAAGTAGTGTGGCCTCTGTCCCTCTTTCCACTGGGTGTCTGGGAACATTATTCAAATTCCAGCATGATGGTGCGACAGAAATCACGAAAGTAAACAATGCAGAGCGACATGTAAGGAAGCCAGGGTATAGTAAGTGTTCTGTGTTTTTACTCTTTTGTCCCTCTGAATCCCTCTTACTAGTGTTGCGCCATGTTTATTGAATGTATACCGAGTTTTTTCTGCATGTTACATCACAAAGCTATCTCTATAGTTATGCTGCTATAGTTATGTTGACCCCTTTTCATTCTGCTTCATTCTATCTCTATTCTCCCACTCTGCAGAATTTGTTAGTTCAATGTCTAGCGCTGTGCTCTCTCTGCTTTTTATAGTAGCTTCATCTGGTCTGCTCCTGTTTGGCTGTGACACCAACCTGGAGAGAAATATCAGCCGTGCTGCTGCCATCGACACCTTTGTTTATAGAAGTTGGAGCTTGGCCTGTTTTTCAGTGTAGTCCTGTTTCTCTGACTGTGACTGGCTGGATGTGCTCTCTTCATCCTTTGACATGGGAACTGGTACCTCTCTCTGGTACCAGCTCAGTAACAAGCTACAGAGTTCCCCTCCTCTGGACTTCACTCCTTTGCCAGAGAATCCAGTGAGCCCGCCTCAGCTGATGAGCAGCCGCACGTTATTAAAATAAATGCCTTTTTAAATAATCACTGTCTGTCTCGCCTGAATTTTGGGTCCAACGTTCTGAGTCTAAAAGACCCTAAAAGAATACTTGGATTTATATTAAGATTAAAGTGCACACTTTAATTACTTACTAATAGTTGTAATTTGTGATAGAAATCAGATATATTACTTTGTATTATCTGACTGAAGGCAGCTAAGAATAAATGCATGCCACACTTTTCATTTTTTAATGAAATATTTGTATGTTATCAGTGTTTTTAAATAAACAATTGTGTACTTTTGGAATTAAATTTGGAGTTGTAAAGTGACAATGAGTCGAATATTTACAAGATTAAGTTTATAAAGTAATATTTTGTTACCAAACATATTATTACCCAAAGATTAGAGCAACATTAAACCATTATTGGCTTTACATAACAGAGGTGTAGGTTGAACTGTTCTGTTTACAGCCATAAAGATAAAAACTCTCCCATCATAAGCAGTACGAGCCTTTATAAAGTCTTTATAAAGATGGTTATTACAGAAGACATAAACAATACCAGCCCCTGCACCTGTTCAGCTGCAGAATTGTCAAAAAAAATCACAAGTGGTTCATGCCTACATCGATTGTAACTTCTGAAGCACGCTTTCTGATTTAAGGTGCTTGACAAAAAAGCCATCAACAGTGAAAGCAATTCTACAGATCATGGTACTTTTCACAGAAGCACACACAATTCAAAAATGGTAAAAAGGACATATGTATTTCCTGTTTGATATAAAATACGACCTTAGAATCGCTGTCAGACAATTTTATGGAAAACCCCCCAAAAGCCTTGACTTAGATAAAACAAATAACCCCTCTGTGAAGAAATGAGGTAGAGACGTTGACAAAAAGAGAAGCACCAGTTCATGGGAACACTGATATTAATTTACTAATCATGATTTAAGGAATTCCAGAGCAGATGCAAATGTCATTCACAAGTCTGATTAGGGTTAAAAAGTCTTTCCTAAGACCTTTGAACCCAAGCGAAATACATTAACCATTAACTACAAAGTAACACAACATGGACAAGCAGTAAGCGCTTTCTTTGGGTAACTGAACTCTTATAATGCATTAAACAAATGCTTTTGATAAAGTATTCTGTGGACAGAAAAACCGAAAGTAAAAAAAAAAACCCAAAAGATGTACCTTATGTCATGTCCGACCTGGGATTACTTTTTTCAAGTGTAGAAATCCTCAATTAGAAACACGACTTTTTTTTTTATTAACTCTGATTTATCTCTGTGAGACAATGAGCATACATTGATGATCCGAAACATTTAATTTTGACAGAATCTATAAGGGTATATTACAAGTTAAACTGGAATTAGATGAGTCTTGGTGTAAGAGTCAACCTTAATTTTCTATCAATCAAGAAAAGAAGAATTGGTTTTTGATAACAGCACAGTGTGGTGACATCAGTACGGACAGAGGTGCATCCCAGCTTAATCATTAGAGTAGTCTGTAGATGAATTGCTGTAAAGCTGATCAGTTCTCCCACCAGCATAATGCAACCAAAGTCAACATTGAGGTACTCTGATTTTCAACATGAGCTATTCCCTCTAATAAATAGTAAAAACCAAATATACCTGGTATAAGAGGTCCCATCAAAGGGACATAATGGCATAGTCTAAATGCTCAACATCTATTTTGTTAACTTTGACATGATTTGTACTTGTACTGAATAAAAATTACACAGAAGTTATAAATGCACCTAGAATATTTAGGCACCTGAGACCTCAACACTACACTCAGGAAATTGGTGTAAATATGCAAGAGTGGTGCTAGCTGTTATCCCTGTCTGAGTGTTTGAATCCTGAGACTACACAATGCTGGCGAGAGAAACAGGTTTTCAACTCTTTGACGTTAGTAGATGCTCTTTAAGGCTAATGTCATTTCAATGCCACATTGCGGTAATATTCATAAAGATATCCCCCCCCCAAAAAAAAACATACCCACCCTATCAAACTATCACCATCCCCAACTCCATTCCCTTTCCTGACCTACCCCATCTCTGTTGATAAAACTGTCAGATTTTCTCAATGACTTCCTGCTGTGTGTCCTACTTGAGTGGAACACAATGATGCGTAACACAGTGGAGAAAAACCCTCATTAATTAACTTCAATCTGCTTTGCCAACTTGCCAACAATGTGATCTGAACAGAAACTGAGAGCTACAAAGATGTATAACCTGAAACAGTTCTTTACCTTTTCAGAAATCAGTTCTTAGGCTTACAGTATATAATATTCACATATGGTAAATGAAGAACTCAAAGTACCTGTACAACTCTAAAAGGGATAGAAAAGCAATGCAGTGAAAATGTGCATAAAAAAATATTTCTCATAAATTCTTCCTGTAAAATTAAAAAACAGTCTGCGATGTTTCTGTGTGGATAAAATTAAGGGCATAGATATGTGTGAGGAGCTGAGGTAGAGTGAACTGAGACAGAGCTAACAAAGGGTGCAGGAGGTAGTCCAGCAGAGACGGCCTTCCCTGCTGCAGCCGGGCAGTGCCTTGAGTCTTCAGTTACTAAATGCTCAGATCTCAGCACAGATCTTGATATATTGGGAGAGTGGAAGCCATTGGTGAGGCAATTGTCTGGTTGTGTCTCAGTGTCTGAGTTCTGTTGCTCTACGTTGCCTTCTGCCTCTCCATTGTGATGAGCCAATATTGTTCTTTTGGGAAGACTCTGGAGACTTTTAGCTACTATAAGGTTTTCTAGATGATCCTCTCTCACTGTCGAACTTGGCTCACTCAAAGGGGAATACACATCTTCTAATAATGAGGGTCCCCTGGTGGAGTTAGAAACCCCACTGTTTCCTTCCTCCTCCTCCTCTTCCCCACTGGGGTCTGACAACTCAGAGTGAACGATGACTTCCGCCTCTACCTGGTTACTGCACAGAGACGTGCACAGATGGTCGTCTTTTTCCTGCAACACAGTAAGACTAGTATTAAACTAAGGCTTACAATTTTCTATTCACTTTACCTTACTTACTTGATTGTAAAAATTAAGCTTTGAACACACCCAACTATTTTCCTACAGATGATACGTATTAATATCACAAGGTCTAACATCACTAGAATTAATGAAATCTTATCAATGCTAGTAAAAATAAAACATTTTTAATTGAGTTCTCCTAAACCATAAAAAAACAAATTCACGTTATAAAATTACTCCAGCTTCTAAATGGTTATTTAAAACCTTGGACAGATACAGTTAGGTGTGTAATGGTACACAAAAACATATTTTCTACCCTTCATTCATAATAATTCAATATGATTTTTTGTTGAACAATAACAAACATTCATTACAATTTCTTTAAATTAGTTATGCCTAAAAATAAAAAAAAAACAAAAAAAAGTTTAGAACTGACAAGAGATTTGATTGAATTATTATCCATGAATAAAGTAACAAAACAAGGTAGTTTCAAGGTCGCAATAAAGAGCTAGTTGCAATAGGTACCGTATTTTCACGACCATAAGGCGCACCGTACTAAAAGCCGAAGTCTCAGTTATGTGTCCCATTTCTGTATTTAACACACACATAGGCGCACCGGACTATAGGGCGCGTTTTTTATATACAGGTACATGACCTCTACTACCTTTAAATAGCTCTACTGCGTATTTAAAAATACAGCGGGCCCAAAACTGAGTATGACTGTGCTTTATTCATGTATTTATTACAAAGTATTAATCAAACCTGTGAGCTGGCCATGAGACAGACACATCGCAGATGACACAGCGCTGTGATCACTCCTAAATTAACTTAAAATCCTGAAACCTGCCGACAGAATATGTTCGCTTTTATTGCCGGTATCCTGGTGCCTGCAGTTTAAATTATTTAGATGAAAAACACCTGCCAGCCGCCGCGGTGAACCCGGAGGCTACCCGGCCTAGAGGCTGCTGATGAAGGGATTTCTACTGCTGGTGTACCGCTGGTATGTGGGGGTCTGAGCGCCTCCGACAGAAATAGATAATCTGGATGAACTGACTGCAATTAAGTTTTCAGGTGGCCTTTCTCACTTAAAAACATATTAAAACTACTTTATTCCCACGGATCACAGCAAATATAGCTGCAAGATTTAGATCATTTAGATGAAAAAACACCTGCCAGCCACCGCGGTGAAGAGGAGGAGACCCGCCCAGAGGCTGCTGTTGAATTAAGTTTTCAGATAGAAAAATAGAGCGGGAGCAAAACTGAGTATGATTGTGCTTTATTCATGTATTTATTACAAAGTATTAATCAAACCCATCAAAGTCATCTTCCTCTGTTTCTGAATTAAACAGCTGCGCTAAATCAGACATGCCAATTTCCCCTTCTTCGCTGTCAGAGTCACTTTCCGTGCAGCGCGGCTCCTCAGAAATAATGCCGGCTTTTGCGAAAGCTTGAACAACAGTGCCAGCAGACACGTTAGTCCAAGCATCTACAATCCATCCGCAAACGGTGGCGTAACTTGCCCGGCGCTGCCTTCCACTTATCGTGAAACTGTGGTCTCCGTCTGTCATCCATCGCTCCCACGCCGCTCGCAGCCTTACTTTGAACGGCCGCTTCACACCGATGTCGAGCGGTTGAAGTTCCTTTGTCAGACCCCCGAGATAACGGCGAGCACAGCGTTCATTTGATTCACCTTTTTTTTTCACATCGGCTGTGAGATGGGCACGCAGCGATGGTGATGCGTGGAAAAAAGCACCTGGTCTCCTCACATACACCTGCCTCAGCCACGCTTTCATCATCTCCTCATCCATCCAGCCTTTTTCATTTGCGTTAATGTCATCAGAGCGCTGTGTCTGTCTCGCTGTCAGCTCCCAGATCAGCTTCTCTGATTGGTTGATGCGGCGCGTCCAGCAGCAAAACTTCAACTTTTTCCATCTCGAGCAGCAGCAGCACGTTGGCGGGGCGGTGCGTCAGATGCTTAAACGCTCCCGACGCGCTGCGCCTGCTGCTCAAAACGCGCTGCGGGACCTTTTGCTGCGCCTATACGCGCGTCAACCATTGACTTTGCATGTAAACTCGCTGCTTCTGCTGCACCTGCTGGGTCCGGTTCACACCGATGTCGAGCGGTTGAACAGCGAGCACAGCGTTAATTTGTTTCCCCATGTTTTTCACATCAGCTGTGAGATGGGCACGCATGGAGTTACATATTAACAGCGATGGTGATGAGTGGAAAAAAAACACCTGGTCTCCTTACATTCAGCCACTCTTTCATCATCTCCTCAAGGAGGTGGTCTCAAAAGTCGCAGTTACAACACACATAAGGCGCACCGCACCAAAGGGCGCACCGCACATTTTGAGGGAAAAAAAGACGTTTAAGTGCGCCTTATAGTCGTGAAAATACGGTACCTTAATACTGTGGACAGACGGAAATGACGACGAGTGTCGCAATAATTATATGTGGAGAGGAAGTGATGATGTTCTACGGTCAAATTAGTTTGTAGCCTGTTGCAAACAAGATTAATCATATTTTGATTTGCAATAATGAGGAGCATTTGCCAACTACTCTTAATTTATAAAAGAATGGTAATCTTCACATATTTAAAGGTACAGTGTTTATTTTTTTAGCAACATCTAATTGGTCCGACTGCAGCGACATAAATCGCCAAGGTAATTGGTTTCTAATTGATTAATTATTTTATTAGCCTGTGTAGGATAGATTTTAAAAAGGCCTAAGATGACAAATATACTCATTATTTGTTCCACATTTTCGTCCTGTTTTAGTGAGTTGCTTAGCATGCAGATATAAACAAACTGATTAACAATTGTCTTTTAGTTTGATAGCAAGATTGTGTTGGTTGGAAGCGTATATATTCTCTTTTTACAGAGTTCAAGCCTTGACTATTGCATGGGGTTTTTTTTAGAATAGGAAGGAGAGGAAGAAGGAGAGGAAGATGGGAAAGAGAGGTGCTAGATTGGAGCCTATGAGATTTACCAAAGCATGAATCTAGAAAATTATTTTGGTGTCTACCTACATGGTCTATGTGATATAAATAATCCTTATTCAACATGTTTTAATTACAGCTCTGACCATAAGACGCAGTAAAGTTACTGTTGTTGTTACTCTACACTTGCTGCAGACTCACTCCTATATATTTAGAAATAGGAATTTCTAAGGACACCAAACAGGATTAGGATTGACACAATCAGCTCATTGATGATTAGTGGATTAAAGTTGCGTTAATTCTAGACAAAATATTGCTGCTAATCTATTCTCACAGTTGGGTTGGGAGCTGAGTATATACTAATGATGACTTTCACCTTGATATTTTAGCGTGGATGTATATCTGGGGGCGATAACGAATCAGTCTTTCTAACTGTGTAGGCATACTGTGAAATTACCACATCAAACGTGAAGTGCTGACATGGTTGAAGCTATAATCCCAGCTTTATCAGCCAAGCTAACCTATCTCCTCGCTCAGTGGATAGCCATTAGAGGCCAGCCATTAGCAATGCTCAATCTCCAGGTGGCCACATGCCACCCCTTTTACAAACTACCTGCAAGGCGAATTATCATGAGAATACATGACCAGTGCGCCGCGGAGAAAGCTGCGATAGATGAGAAATTGATCGAGGCAACGTCTGTGTCAGATTTTTGGAAACACTATATTGTATAGTGTTGGACAATATTTTTTGCAGTAAGAACACAGTAACAAAGGAGCAAAAAAAGTATTTATAACTTTGTCAAAATCTTAAGTTAGAGGATGAAATTACGTGTGATTTTGCAAACATAAAAAAGCTTCTGTACAAATGCTCCACAATTCTTAGAAGCTCACTAATTTCCCCGCTACCAGTGTTATTGCTTTTGTTACTTTTTTGTTCTTTTGCCTTTCCTGTGTCGTTTTGCAGGAACTCCTATAGGTTCTCCACCTGGATTGCCCACAAGGAACAGTTTCTTTTTTTTTACAGACAAAGCAGCTGGTTGTATTTTTTTTATTGTTTTCTTTTTAATGCTCTTTCTGTCTTAAGGTTCAATCTCCTTTCCAATGCTTTTCTTTCTTCTGTCCCTCTGTCAGGTTCGCCATTATGGTACACATGTACATTTTTTAACAACATTAATAAATAAAGCAGTTTTGGGTAATCAAGGGGGCTTCTCACCAAAAAAGCCTCCCTTGGCAAAAGAAATTGGTTCAGCAAAGCACGGTACTCAGATTTCAGTTCTGCTGCCATAATGCTGAGCAAGGTTAAAAAAAAAAAAAAAAGTTAATCTTTTCTTTTAAATTCTGGAGGTAGCACACTCATATCATGAATGCCTTTGGCAGAATTTCACTGAGGGATTTTAATCTAGATCGATTACAAGATTGTGTTTTTTTTCTTCTTTTTTTAGAAGCATACATAACCTTGTTTATATAGTCTATAAACCTAAAGCAATATGCATGGTATAGTTGTTACATGTCAGGTACGCCAGTCATTAACCCTGACCAAGTCACCTTTCAGTAGAACTGCAGTCAGTCCCTGGACTGGCATGGCTATCACTGCCCCTACATACTTAGGGACTAAATTCCCACTGGGATCAGCTTCATAGTCATGGTAGGATACTTCTTTGATTTTATTTATTTTGCTCAGACTACTCATAAGCCCACCAAATGTTGAAAGGGCAATATTATCGCCATTACTGTTAATATATAGTAGAAATTTTACACATTCAGTAGTAAAATGTCACAGGGGATGGTCATTTTAAAGATTTATTTAAGAAGGGGGATGCCTTCCTTCCATCATCCCGCCTCAACTCCAGTACAGTGTATAGTTAGCCTGATAAACCAGACTAAATGTGAGATTAATGTGTAATTTAGTCTGGCCCCGATGAATGAGACATCGGAAGACTATTGATGAGAACAACCCGTTCTCTTTCAAACCATGTCTGTGCCTATTGGTCAACGCCAATGAGTGCAACTGACTGTGACGTGGTAAGTGCGGCAGAAAGCTGGTGGGGGAGTGTTAAAAAACAGGCTGTCGGTCAAACGGCAAATACGTCCTTCTTCTGAGCATAGAGCCTCTTCCTGCTTATGTTTCATCAAAAACCCCAAATGTAATCCTTCCAAAACTGATTCCAAAGCTGAGCCAAATGAGAACTGTTCAATGGTTGTTGCTATCTTCCTTCTTGTGCTTTCTCCAGCGTCGCAAAGCTTTGTCGTCACGCCCTCAAATCCCTGCACACTTTGCATCCAAAATTTCAAAATACATCTCTGCGTATTGTGATTGGCCCGCCAGTTCCAGGGCCTGAGGCATTGATCGAGGCTAGACCCACTTGTAGGCAAAATTATTTTGGCCGCTGGCGGGTGGGGCTAGTTCATTAGGCTAGTGTATAGTAAACATTTCTGTCAGTAAATCACTGTAATTATAACATACTGTAGCTTTAAAGTAGTCTATGCCTCTGTTTTTAAATATTAAATAGCAGGTCTCAGGATACTTTTTAAATATCTTACATTTTATATTACATTTTATAGATAAATTTTAGTTGTATTTAATGTCCAATATTAAGAAAGGTATCCATATTTTTTCAACATTTTAAATCAAAGTAACTGTATAGTTACTTTATCAATTAAACTACTTAGTAACAATAACCAGTTAATTTTTTTTAAGTAACAGTCAAACACTGAATATAAGTATCATTATACCCATAGATAGTGTTTCTAAAAAAGCATATCACCTAACATAACGGTTTGGATTGTTTGCAGGTGAGACAAATCTCATGTTTTACTGATGTTTTACTGTATAATTTCAAAAAACAACAAAGATAAAGGATATATATTCTATACTTATGCCCTCATTCAGTTCCACAATGTTATAGCACGTAAAGTACATACGTAAAGCTCTTGTAATTATTGTTAGACTTTTTTTTGTTATATTCCTATTGCATGTTTTATCTTATAATATTTCACCATTATCTAATCACCATCATAACTATCAAAATACTATACTACCTTCAAGTTACAGGGGAATATTTTATGTTAGGACTTCACCTGGGACTCTACTTCTCCAGGTGCTGAGAAGGAATCAGCTAAAGGAGACTGCTGGTGTCCTTCTATTGAGCTCCTATTGAGTGTAACTGTCTGTGCAGACAGGAAGGCTCTGCAGAGGGTCACCATGATGGCAGAGAAAATCATTGGCTGCCCTCCTCCTTCCCTGAAGAACATTGCAACCTTTCTCTGCATTAGCAGAGCTTTAAAGATCAAAGCAGACAACATTCAGCCTGGCAACCAGCTGTTAAACCTGCTGCCATGGAAAGATACTCTACTCTTTAAAAAGCAGGACAAGTATATGCCTGTGCCATCAGGGAAGAAAAAGTCCATTGATGGAATAACCTAACCTGGTCATTCAGTATATTCAGGTAGTCAGTTGACCTCATTCTTTGAGTACATACTGTTGCTGAACCTAGACCTGACCAACTGCAGCAACCCCAGATCATAACACCGCCCCCACAGGCTTGTACAGTAGGCACTAGGCATGGTGGGTGCATCACTTCACCTGCCTCTCTTCTTACCCTGATTCGCCCATCACTCTGGAACAGGGTAAATCTGGACTCATCAGACCACATGACCTTCTTCCATTGCTCCACAGTCCAATCTTTATTAGGGATGGAACGGTTTATGAAAACCGTCCGAACCGTTCGGTTCATGCGCTGCTCCTTTTTCTCATAGGCGAAGCGTGTACACTCCAGAACAGAAGGTGGCGGTACTGCGACCAAAGCCAACAACCAGTAGTAAACAAGAAGAAGAAGAAGCGAAGCAGCGTAGCCGGATGTAGCAGAAAAAAATCAGTAGTTGTGGAGAATTGTGTGGGTATGGCGAGTGGTAAAGAACAGGAGTTGGAAGACGTGCCAGCAGCACTTTATAGGTCTGCTGTATGGGACCGCTTTGCATTTAGAGTGACCTATGATGACGGCGGAAAGAAAGTTGTGGATAAAAGTGCAACAGTGTGCAAGCATTGTGCAACACCTTTTGTTTATGCTAACAGCAGCATGACCAACATGTCAGGCTAACCCCGAAATCCCACGTACTCCGTCAGCGCTCCGCTGCGCACCGCCCTGCTGCGCACCGCCCCGCTGCGCACCGCCCCGCTGCGCTCCAGACCGCCTGCAAAAAGCAAAGCCTACAGCCTCCACTGTGGCTCCCGTCCACTCCGCTCTGAGTTCCTTGGAGATCGTAGAGGGCATGCGCGAGATGATTAAATTCAGAGCAGCAAAACATGTGGAAATAACCCAGGGTTTCCGCAGATCATTAAAAATAATTACAATTCATTCATTTTTTGGGATTTTTTCATTAATTCCATTAATTTTTATGAGATTTCTGTGTAACAATCAACATATACCGAACCGAAAACCGTGACCACGAAGCGGTGAACCGAACCGAACCATAGATTTTGTGAACCGTTCCACCCCTCCTCTTTATGCTTCCTAGCAAATTGAAGCCTTTTTTGTCCGGTTAGCCTCACTGATTAGTGGTTTTCTTACAGCTACACAGCTGTTCAGTCCCAATCCCTTGACTTCCCTTCGCATTGTGCATGTGGAAATGCTCTTACTTTCAGTATTAAACACAGCCCTGAGTTCTACTGTTGTTTTTCTTCGATTTGATCCCACCACACGTTTAAGTGATCGCCGATCACGATCATTCAGGATTTTTTTTCCGGCCACATTTCTTCCTTGAAGATGATGGGTCCCCACTATCCTTCCAGTTTTTAATAATGCGTTGGACAGTTCTTTAACCCAATTTTAGTACTTTCTGCAATCTCTTTAGATGTTTTCTCTGCTTGATGCATGCCAATGTTTTGACCCTTTTCAAACTGACTAACATATTTTCCATGACCACGGGATGTGTCTTTCGACATGGTTGTTTAGGAAATGAGAAGCAAGTCATTGTAACAGTTGGGGTTAAATAACTTGTTGCCAGCTGAAAGATAATCGCCCATGCAGTAATTATCCAATAGGAGGCTCGTACCTATTTGTTTAGTTGAATCCAGGTGGTGACTTATTTTTGGGCCACGCAGTGTAGATGCAGCAAAGGTTATATGCAATCTTTTCTAGCTTTGGGCTAGAAAAATCACATAGATCGCAAGATCGTACTGTTTTTATTTGTGATTGATATAACTATTTATATTGGTAAGTATTTTTATTTTCATGCCCTAACATATGATAACAATAATTATATTCTATTCTAAAAAAGAAAACACATAATTCAAAATTGTAGTACCTTTTAGCAACAGATAGAACAGCTACAAATCTGAAGAATGCTCTTGTTTTTCCTTTGTTTATGTAGATAAAATTATTGTTCTGGTTTGAATCCAAAAAGTGTGAATAGATCAAAATATATGATTATCAACTACAATGTAAGCTTAACTGAACAGACGGCACCACATACATCTGTCAGCAAGATCCATCTTTTCAGATGGATAATTAAGAAACTGCTGTTTTTTTTCTCTTTACTGTTTAAGTGCATGTATGAAATTTAAAAAGGAAATATATGAAATGACAAAAAAGTCATTACTTTGGAGCCATCAGGGAACAATGTGTGGCATTAACAGTGTGTGGTATAATAAAAACGTGCTGTGAGCATGCTCCAGTAGAGGGCAACGACCCAAATAACAAAGAACAAAATCTTGAGGAAGAAACAGACAATTCAGAAAAAGGAACAAAGAAATCTATATCTATAATCATGAATCTGCTGAGAAAAATAATCTAATGTTTACTTTAAGGCTGCAAACGCTAATGCATTTTTCACCTGTAGTGCATTAACAAAGAAATTGTCAGAAAGGATTTAAAGTACCGTATGAGAAAAACATTCCTATTAGTGAATGGTTCATATTTGACACAAACTATATATATATATATATATATATATATATATATATATATATATATATATATATATATATATATATATATATATATATATATTCTTTTTTTAAATTATTTCCTTTTTACCATGCTAGCTGTAGTAATAAACATGTTGAGAGCTCCATTAATCAGTGCTGGAGACTCCTCCGTTATAGTGTCTCTATATCTTGTGATCCTGTTGACCCAATTATGACTCACAGAGCCATTCCAAGCAATCTGCAAGATAAACACAGATAATGCATTATAATACCTACTATATCAGCGCAGGAGAAACAAAAGTGTCAAAAACAAATAACAGATTTTGCTTTATCTATAACTAAAAACTGTGCCCACACAGCAGGTTATGAGTTTTGATTTAGGTACAGGAGCATCCTCCCCCTCCCCCAGAATAGAACTTGCCATCAGACTCTGTTCTTCTGAATCATTTGTCCGCTGCTGACCCAACTCCTGGGTCCCAAGGGGCATCAGAGTCTCCAGTTCATGGCTATCGCTGCACTCTGGCACTTTGGCTGGAGCAGGGCATCCAACTTTTCTGCACTGAGGGGTCACAGCTGTGGAGTTCAGACCTCCAGATAGTTCTCTGTGTGAAACAGTAATCTCATCATTAGAAAAAGGAGACTAAGAACTGAAAAATTAATAAGCAAGCAGGTGCATGACTAGATTGCATCACAGAAATAATTCAAATTATCTCAGTCATTCAAATTCACAAAGGAATCTCTAATGTTATATTAATTCGTTACACAACCAGATATGATTCAAACATTTATTTCAGATCATTTTGAGGATTTGGGTAATGGAGATCTATCTGTTTTTTTTTTTTAGGAACTTTAACTAAATTATCTAAATTATCACCATGTGTAGAACTGACCTGGATTTACTGTTGCGGAAGCTGAAACACATACAGAGAAGGATGCAAATGAGTCCCAAACAAACACCAACTATGATGCCTGTGACTGCATGAACGTCCAACTCTGGTAAAACATCAGACAGAATAGAAAAATTAGGAAGCATATTTGATTAAATAAATATATACATGAATGGCAACAAAATCTAGAACTTTCTTTTACTAAAGTTTTTCCCTTTTAATTTAAAAATCACAAACCACAAGGTTTTTATTCCAGTTTAGGAAATATTGCAAACTGGAATAATTGCTAATTGGAAACAGTTTTTTTCCCCCATTTAATGTTCAATTTATTCAAATAGCACTAAATTCACAACACCTGGTTTATCAAGGCACTTAACTGTGTAATTTCAATTAAGTTAGAGGAAGATATTTGGTCACATTTGACTCTGGACAGTCAACTTCATGTATATTCATGAATCCAGGGTATTGGCATTGTGGATTACCAGTTGAGAAAAAACAGATGGCAGCCACACTCCAAGCTCTAGTTCAATTTATAATGTCACATGAAATGGAAATAAACTGCTTTTACTTCAAGTGTTTTGAAAGAATAAACTGCCCTGTATTTATTATTTACAAGAATAAAGTAATTTTGTTTTCAAGAAAGTTTGCAGGTGCACAGAGAAAAATGCAGCAGGAACAACTTCATCAGAAATTTTATTCTAGGATTTTGGTGCAAAATATTATTGAAGTTTATGTAAAAATAGTGAAAAATTCAGAATAATAATACTCAAATGCCAGCCTTTTCAAAATATATTACAAATTAAAATCTGAACATTAGTCAAACTTGTGTATTCACTCCCAACAGAGTCAATCACTCCTAAGTCAACTTTAGCTGCAATTAAACTTTGAATTTATCTGTGGTATATCTTTTGTAAAGTTGCGCATCTAGAAATCAGCATTTCCTTTTTTATGTCCATTTTTGCCATATAGACAGAAACAAATTCTTAGTATATGATATTGATAAGCATAAGCATCTTCCATGTCCCTGCTGGATCAAAGCCTCCCCACAGCATTGTGCTGCCACCACTATGTTTAAATTTAGGATTAGTGAGTTTAAGGTATAGTAAAGAGTATATTTTCCAACTTATTAAATGTCATATAATGTGTAAAATTGCATTATTTCTATCTAATCCTACCAGCATATCTTCATCCACACTTGCCGTATGGAAATTGTGGGCTTAAAACAAACTTCAAAAAGGAATATTTTTTTTTGTTGCTTTCTTTCAAATACTGCTTCATTCATGCAAATCATCCAAACCAGGTCCGATTTGTAGAATGGGTAACTTGCAGCGGTCCTGTCTACACATTCTTTCTTCAAGGCATCTTGGCTGGTCCTCAAATAATCCTGTCAATTTCCTCAGACAACCATGTTTTGATAAACGTACAGCTGCAATTAATTAAATATGGCACAATAATGTGCTTAAAAGTTTGCCTTTTGTTTTATAACCACCGTTATACCCTTCTTAACAACTCCAACCCTGACATTACTGCTGTAATGTTACGTCAATGCTCACTAACAAAAAGCTGTATTTCACAGAAGCAGAATTTTTAAGACAGTTTGTCACCATGGATTTTATTTAGGGGCATCAGTTACAACAGGGCACAATATTTTGTAAATCTGTCACATAAAAGTTCACTGTTCTAACTGACAGGCGGCGCTATAAGTTTACCTCTACAAAGCCTTGAAATAAGATTTCCTTAAAGCAAAAAAACAAATTAGAAATGTCTTATGGAGCTACAGGACATAGCACTGCTTAAGGAATGTAAGAGTCTGTGCAAAGCCTTTGTGGTCACTGTGCATAAGTAAATTCTGGTACAACTAATTAACCAAGTTAATCCTTAGGTCCATCAAGGAAATCTCCACATTTACTCCTCTTTAATCCTTCAAGTTCCACATCATTTATCCTTCTATTCTATTGATAATTCTGTTATATAGGGCATATTTAATGAATGCTTTTCCTTTTTTCAATTTTATTTTAGTTTGTGTTTCTAGTTGCACATACCATATGTGGGCAGTGGAGTCTGAACATCCATAACAGAAGAAAAAGGCCCTGGTCCCACTTTAGTCGAAGCTCCCACTTTAAAGAAGTACCAAGTTCCCCCTGACAAACCATTGACCTCCGTACTAAAGATATCCCCTGAGAAAGAGATCATGTATTAAATTAAACAAATAATTATATTCAGCACCTCAAATGTGAACAACTTTTAATTATTATCGATGAACATACCATCCTCTGAGAGATTTCTCCACTGGTGCTCTGGCTCACTCGGGTTGACTGTAAACAAAATACTGTAGCTGCAGATAATGCCATTTGGTTCCAGAGGAGGGCGCCAGCTCACCAGCACATATGAGGAGTCCAGAGCGCTCAGCTGCAGTTCCTGGGGTGGTGTGGACGGCCCTGAGGGAGAAATGATGATCAGATAAGTCATTAGGGGCCAGCAATGAGGCCTTGCAGCTGGGCAGTGTTTATTGTCTTGGTGGGGGATTTGACTCGGAGTGTGAAAGCCATCTGTGTCCTTGTGTCCCTGCCACCTGGGTACAGGAGAGGATACACTATGAGGGAAATGGGGGGAGGGTGAAGGGGCAGGAAAAGGCCTAGGATATGAATGAGTTAACTGCCATAAAAACAGCAGAATAAATAAACAAATTTAGTAAAAATAGTTTGTGTTCATTTTTAGACCTGAGCACTTAAACAACTAGTTATTAGCAACCACAAATGCCCATCTTAAACACTAGTTTATTTATTTATTATTGGTGAGTTGGTTGCAAATAATTACTTGCACGTATAATATGATCCATCAAACTAAAAGTTACCCACTGCAGACTATGGAGCCCTTAAAAAACTGCAAAGTAACCTTTCCCTTTTCCAGAATTTGTTAAAGCATGGTCCTAAAAGGAGCAGGAAATGTGCCTTGCTGCTTCATGAATCATGAATATTACTTTAATCAACTTCCTATTTATGCTTGTGAACATTAAAGCCACCTAAAAATGAGAAGCTGAGACTTCTCCTGGATTGTTTCTACCAAATAAACAGAAAAAGCTCACACGTCTAAAATATATATTTCTCTGAGGATACTCACGGTCAGGCAGTGTAGACTCCTCCACTGTGCCACTGAAGGGTCCTGTACTGTCCTCCCCATTAGACCGGACTGCCAGCTCATAGTGGGTGAAAGGCTTCAGTCCCCCCAGCAAGATCTCCAAAGAGGAACTGCCACACATTAATGAGTCAGTACCTAGACACAAGGTGTTTGCTATACAAAATCTGTATTTCATTTTATTGTATAGCTGTGTTGATTCACAATAAGCAACCTAGGCTAAATTGAGGAATAGTAAGTTGAAAATTTAAAAGCTTTTTTTTTTTTTCCAAGTTCAAAATAAAAGTAAACTTTCTCAGCAAGTCTAATATAAACATGGTATAGCCACAATAGAAGTAGAGAAATGAGAAAAGAAACAGTAACTAGGTGTTTTTATTAAAACAGTTCAGTTCTGATCTAAGCTTACAGATTGGTACTAACTCTGTTCACCTCATTTGATTCGAGTTAAATCTACTCATTACAGCTGGGTACCACAGCAGTGTGGGTGGGGTTATCAGGGCAAGGTGGCCCCATCATCCATATATGACACAAACAAAAGGCAACAATGAAGGAAGCCACAGAAGGCTGCAGACAGCAAGATGAGGCTCTCTAGAAAAGAACAGGAGAGGGAAAGGAGCCATGGAGCTTAAAAAAGTGAAGGAAAAAAGCTAGAAAACACATGAGGGAAAGTCAATATTACTAATATTAGCTTGCTATAGTGGTTATTATTACAATAAATATTCAATTGTTAATATACAGCTTAGTATAATGCAGTGAAAAATCAGTGCACAACGGGTGACTCCACATTTTCAGCATATCTTAGTGTGGTTTAATTAAGTTTAAAAAATAATTACTATTATAAAATAATTTATAACTGTTATCAATAAAGCCCAAGTGAGCTCAGCCATGCATTGGTAGTAATTGAAAAGGGAATGACTGACTATCAGTCCAGGATTCTTTAATACAAGTTACTCAGGGTCTTTGTGTTTAGTAATAAAATTAATTTAATCATATTTCTAATAGGATTATCAATATTTTAATTTTAATTAAGCTTCTGCCTATAGGCATACCATCACCACAGCATCTACTCTGTAGTTCTGCTTTGATATTCTGATATCCTCAAATGTTTAATGTCACCTTTGATTGAAATACAGTACATGTTTCCATTTATAATAGTGTAAATATGTTTACATATTTATCAGGTTTCTTTATTTTTCACTCACAAAAAAGAAAAAAGTTGGAGTCTGCAGACTGATACTATTGCAACAAAACATTTTGAAAAGTATATGCTAAATAATATATTATAATACTAAATTAAAATAAAAATGTGTCCCACGGATTTTTTATGCTTTGTGTAATATTTACAGACTTTTTTTTGGAAACATTGCAATTTGGTCCAGTGCAGAGCCAATGAACTTTACATGTAAATAATTAACTGTATACTCTTAGAGCCTGGTCTTCAGGTTTGTGCCTCCTGAAGGTTGGTTAAAAATGAGTTCATATGTGCAGATAAGATCTATAGAGAAGGCCCAAAGTGATTTACATTTGCAACTGAGCAGACAGCGTGTGCCAAACCATTTATGCACATGTCCCTTCATCTATATTTGGATCAGATTTTCCAAATCCGAAAGTAAACTGCAGTGGCAATGTCAACATTTGCAACGAAAACTTTGTAGATCACCAGCATTACACCCGCTTATGCAGTCAAATCTGCATAGCTAACAAACTACCTTGTGGTCAGAGATTGTTTATACAACTTAAGACCCAGAAAACAAGTTAATGTCAAGTCACAAGTCTCTGTTTATTGCCCTAAGTGCAACTTCAGTCCAGGTCTCAAGCACAAAAACCCATCCCTGTCCCTTAGTTTGTTCTGTTTCATAAAAAACACGTTGACGTCCTATAATATATGTTTTTTTTTTTTTTTGGATATGGGAAATGTGTTACTTCTATTTCAACATTAAACACTACTTTTCCAGTATTCACCCTGACATTCTGACCTGGTATAATAAGAAACCAGAGATGCATTGGTGGTTCCTGCTGGGCTGCAGCGTACTATATAGTTGATGATCCGTACATTAATGAACCGGGGTTTCTCCCAGCGGAGCCAGATGGAAGTGGAGCTGTTAGCCGTTGCTTGGATGCTGCTGGGGGGCAATGGAGGCGATGAGGATGGTCCAGAAGCTTCAACACAACAACACATTAATTCTCTTAAATGCTAGAAAATAAACTTTTTTTAAATTTTTGCATTATCACCATGAGGACACATTTTAGGTTATTTTAATGCTTATCTATTCATGCCTAAAAGCAAAGTCTTACGTCTACTGTAAATCTTATCAGTCCTTCCTTTCCACACTGCAGCCTCTCCATCTTTTTGTCTGTTGAATCCCCAGACCCTCACTTCATACTGCCGGTCAGGAACTGACAAAAAGAGAAATACAAGCAAGGATAAAACTTTAAGGCAGCTTTTCCCAAACTTTTTGAGCCATGCACCTCCTACTGTGTCCCAAGTGGGTTTGTGCACCCCTATTCCCTGACACCTTTAAAAAAACAAAACACTTTTAAACAAAACAAAGCCTTTTTATAACCATATTAAAGGTGGCATTTTTAATCATGTTTATACGACAAGAGCACACATAAACAACCAAAGAAAGTTCCAAAACTGTTAAAAACCATTCCACTGGACTTTAAGATATTTTGCTTCCAATCCAGGAAGCTTTTTCAATTCAAAATGTCAGAAACAGCATTGAGTTTGAGGCTTTATAGAGAATTTAACGCTATTCCTGACATTTTGAGTTGAAAAAGCTTCCTGGATGGGAAGTGAAACATCTTCAAACTTGGAAACAAAGTCCAGTGCATTGTTTTTTCTACTTTTTAGAATAAATATGACCTGGATGACTGAGAATCCAACCAACGAAAATGCAGTTAAAATAACACAACACCGTCATCATAACATGTTATGGAAAATAAAATTAGAATTGAATTTAAACTCAACTGCAATAAAGTTACACACAGCATAAGCAAAATGATCCTGAGGATTTACATGTGCAGTGAGAGAATTTACCTATGCGTGTTTTCACTTTCTTTATTTCGTGTACCTGCTTTTTAATCTAAATCTGACTCAAAATGAACGTCGCAAAATAGAAACTCTAGGAAGTTTAATGATTTGTGTCTGATGACAAGTTAAGGACTCTGCTAGAGAGGCATAGAGTAACAATACCAGAGAGATAGTGCCAGCCTCGATAAAATGTATTAATCTGATAAATAAAGAGTTTGTTCCTGATTGTTTTACAGCGATTACATTCAGTGGGTAGAACTGACCATGACGACACACCTCAGCTCACCTCATCCCCCACCATCACTGGCTGCAGGTTTCCCTGTTCCTGTCTGAATATGGTACCTTAAAATGAACAGCACCTATCTGTATCCCATTATCCAATGAAAAGTATTACAGCTCTGAGCGTGAGCATAGTCACAAAATTGTGTCTATCTCAAATTTTTCCCAGCAGCAGAAGAGGTGTGGGCATGTGTGCACAAATGCACCCGGTTCAGAGACACAGCACTATGGGCAGGCCATGCAATACTGCTTCTTTGTTTTAAACTAGATGCAACAGACTAGCTGTATACACAATACATAGAAGCACAACTTCCTTTATAATGCATCCTAAAATGAAGCGGGGAAAAATATTACTTCCAATTAAATACATTTTCCTGTGAATTAATTTTTATTTATTGTTATTCATTATTATTATTGTTTATTTCTTTGTAAAGGAAATGGTTATGTACACCTCTTTATTGTGTGAGGGAAAATATATACTTGTGTTATTATCAGACTGCCATTACAATTTACAATATATACACATATACACACACATATACAGAGATGGATAAAGTACTCACTTTCCGTACTTGAGTAAAAGTACAGATACTTGTGTTAAAAAATACTCTGGTAAAAGTGGAAGTACTGATTAAACTTCTTTACTCAAGTAAAAGTAACAAAGTACAGGCTTGTAAATTTACTTAAAGTATAAAAGTAAAAGTAGAAACCACTTTTTTCATGCAGTTGCCTACATTTTAAATGGATGTCTGCCAATAGGACTAGATCTCCGTTGTGTTCATTTTCAATCATCTTGTCATCCATACTACTATGCTAACGCCACCGCCACCAAGCTGCAATGATTTGCCGCGAATGAATAATGCTGAATCTGTCGATTCATCTTGTAGTGGTGCGTCAAATGCAACGTAGATTCCCATCCAGTTAGATTGAATTTGGTATTGATGAAGTGAAAAATAATAACGGTAACTCCATTGAAAATTTTCAAAACTAAAGTAACGAGCCAATTTTTTTAAAATGTAAGGAGTAGAAAGTACAGATATTTGTGTAAAAATGTAAGGAGTGGAAGTAAAAAGTCGCCATAAAAATAAGTAGTAAAGTAAAAATATCAGAAAAATCTACTTGAGTACAGTAACTAAGTATTTGTACTTCGTTACTTCCCATCTCTGCACATATATATATATATATATACATATATATATATATATATATATATATATATATATATATATATATATATATATATATATATTAGTGCTGTCAAAATTATCGCGTTATTATCGCGTTAACGCGAGGCCATTTTAACGGCGATAATTTTTTTAACGTGAGATTAACGCTATGTGGTTTTATGGTAAAATTTTCCAAGTACATCCCGCTGCAGCCTGCGAGAAGGCGGGGCTGTTTTCCCCCAGTCTATGCATTTTCCATAGGCTTCAAGAGCGGAGCTCCTCAAGGAAAAAAGACGCTCATACACTGGGTAGCGCTAGTGCCTTTTCTTTAAGCCCCACCACCAACAAACAAGTTGAGTGTCTGGTAACTAGTAGCAACCTGAAATACGCTGAGAAAACAGATTACTGAGGTGAAATGGAATCTGCTACGGCACTCTTGCTGTCTGTGTACGCCACAGGTCAGTATCGCGTGTGTGTGTGTGTGGGTGGGTGGGTGTGTCTGTGTGTGGGTGGCTGGGTGTGTGTGTGTTCTCATTTTTGTTAAGAGGCTGAAAAGTAACTTTCTAGAGCATAGACTACCTCCATCTAGTGATGTCGGTCTATTGATTTTGATGTATTGATTGAAAATTGTTCATTATTATCTTGGTTAATTAACATCTAATGTTAACTGTACTACATTTTATAGCAGTAGTCTCAGCCTGTTTTCAGGGCCTTTTTTTTGGCTACATATTGTTATTTTTTACTACATGCCTCCCCATCTTCTTGCCATATGTTTCTATGGCATAAATCAGTGTCTGTGACCTGTTTTCATTTTAAAAAAAGAACATTGGCACAAACCTAGCCTGTATGTATTTTTTGTATGTCATCGAGAGTATTTAAATGATTTTCAATCAGAAAAAAAATTTGCGATTAAAATGCGATTAATCGCGAGTTAACTCAGGCATTGATGCGATTAATCGCGATTAAAAAAATCTAATCGATTGACAGCACTAATATATATATATATGTAGAACCTAAATACCGGTCTATTAAAAAATAATTTGGAGAGGACTAACTTCTTACCCAGCCCAGTCAACAGGTGATGCCTTGCCTTCTTTCGAAGCCTGATGGTGTGTGTCTTCGATGACCCTTCTTGCTTAGAGGTCCCATCAGCTTCTGCTTCCCGATATGAGAGCTTATAGCCGGAAACCATTGTATGATTTGGTGAGGGCTGCCATGTTACATTGAGAGTGCTCACTCTGGATCTCACCTTCAGCTCAGAAGGAGCAAAAATCACTGAAAAAGATTTTTTAATAAAGGTAAGATTAGCCTTTTTCTACAGCATTCCTCTTCACCCTATTAAAAAATTGCAGATATAATTGTGATTATAAAAAGACGTTTGAAAAAGATCTATTAAAATGAACCAGGTTTGCGGTGATACTTGAGAATTAAAATAAATTTGAAATTCATTAACATTTTTTTTTTAAGTAAGGCATATTGAGACATATAAAAAGTAAATTCCTTTTCTTAGAAACTTCTTACTTGTAAAAGAGCCAGATAGCAAAAGAGATATTTTTAATACAAAAAAATAAATAATTTTTTTTTCTTCCAAAGGTTTGGTTGGGACCTTTTTGATTGAAATAATGCATCAACTAAGGGTGGCACAGATTTAATCAGTTTCTTGTCTTTGCTTGGGTTGTTGGGAACTGCATTTCCTTTATTATTGACATTTGGCTGGTCTCCACTGTTGGTTCTAGTTTAGGCCAACCCAATTATGTTAATCCACATTTAACCATAAATAACCGAGTAAATAAATTAATATCTATTGACTTTGTAAAAGACAATTCATTATTTCACAAAAAAATGCAAACATCCTAAAAAATCAATTATTGATTGTTGTTTCACTTATTGTCTTTTTAAGATGCAAAGGTGTGAATTAGAAGAAAGACATTTTAAACTTAAAGCATGCCTGAAAATCAAGATATGACTTAATTGTATCTTGAAAAAAATTCCCAAAAAGGTGAGAATGTCTTGACATGTTCTCTCTGTTGAAACGTTTACTCTCTTCTCCGATGTACTTCTTCGGTCTGACGAATTACAAATAACCGTAGCCTATTAAACAGCATCCTTGCATAATGGATCAACCATTTAACAATGGAAGCTGTTTGCTCACATGTAACTGGAATGCATCAGGGCTTGATAAAATTTTATTTTTAACCATTAAAATTTCTTCTCAAGGCTTTGGAGCCACATTTTTTTGATAAGTTGGATTAACTGCTCAGCTCTATTCTGGTATTTCACACAGACTAAACACTGCATATTTTCTATAGAGTTCGGAGCAGGTGAGGTTGCTGGCCAATCAAGCATAGTCATATGATACCGAATAATTTTTGCATGAGGGAGGGTTCCAAGTCCTTGGAGAAAATAAAAACAGCATTTTCTAGCATCTGGTTTTTAGAAGGAAATATGACACGCTCTTATACTTCCTGAAAAATGATTGTTCAAACTTTGGACTTGTTAAAACGCAGTGAACCAACACCAGCAGATGGGAAGGAACAGCTTTAGATGGCTTACATTCCTCTAAGTGTGCATCATCTGACTGCTAAAACATATAGCCAGTAGTAGAGTTGTAAAGAAAAAAAAAAAAAAGAAGGGGGATGGTGGATTTTTCTTTATTTTTAGGAAGTATGCATGGTCTGAGATCCTGAAGTTTGAACTCCTGCATCGGATTGATGGTGCGATAGGTGCCACTAACCAGGCATGTGCAGAGGGGGGGGCTAAGGGGGCTTGAGCACCTGCCCCTTTTGCTCCATGATCCCAATGTGCCCTTTTGGTCCCTTTTTTTTTTTTTTTTTTTTTTTATTTGACACATGTACTGAAATTATTATTATTAACTTTTTTTTTGGCAAGAAAAACAATACAATAAGCCCTCCGATCACATTGTTACATTAGACCTTTTGCCGGTGACAACGCACTTGCCTCTCGCACAGTCAGATAAGGCGGCTAACTGCGGAGCTAAAGGTAGCGAACATTCCACATTACACTGTGGCCGCTGTTCATTTGGCCCTAAGCAAGATCAACCATGATCGGACGGATGGCTGTTTCTTCAGTCTGCACCGCCTCTCCAATGTCAACCTGAATAGACATGTAAGTGAAACCAAATGAGCCCCATGGATGATGCAGTATTGTTTGATCTAAAACACTGTTTACTCTGTGCTTTTAGTCTTTTACATTGAAAATTATGTTTTTTAATTCACAAAAACCTGTTCTGTAATGATTACAGAACAGTTTTTTTGTGAATTAAAAAACATAATTTTTGGTGAAAATACTGGAGTAGGCTTCCTACTTGTCAGACAACGGAAAACTTTGAACGTTGTATAATTTCTCTACTTTAGCAAAGAGTAGCGGTTTAAACGGAGGAAAGTATAGGATGTGGCGCGCCTTTCTCTGAAGAACTACTGAGCGGGAGGAGACAGCCAGGTGAGAAAAAGCTGTTCTTATCTATCGATTCAGTATTTTTATCATACAGACAATAGGCTGTTGTTCTTGTGCTATGAGCTAGCTGCTAGCTAATGACTTTGCTAGCAAAGCAAGATAACTAAAAAGCTTCCCTGTGTCGTTAATGATAGTAGGACATTCTTCAGTATTACTTATGCAATAGGGGCACATCGCCCGTCAAAAACCTATCATCTCCATAATGGATATATGTCTGATTTTCTAATTTCCTTTGCTGCATGATGTACACTTCATTTATTCTAGCGTTAGGTAAATGTATCTTGAAGGAGAACTCATCCAGAACTACCATGATAGATATATGATAGATATAATGTATGAAGCTGGTGAAAACAAAACTGCGCAGCTTATGCAAGGAGGATCGGTTGTCAGACCTTCTTTTGTTGGCAATCGAGAAGGATGTGCCAATCATTCACTGTGAGGTTATTAACATTTTTAAAGACATGGCTAACAGAAAACTGCTGCTGTGAACAAAAGAGAACAAAAATAGCAAAAATGCTTAAAAGTTGGAAATTTGTTTTTAAACTGTTAAATCACCATGACGGAAAATAAGTTTTTGGATCATAATCTTGGATTTAGTTTGGGGGAAAAAGAAAGGCAAGAGACTGAAATAAATAAGACATTGACCTTCACTCAACACAGAAAAGATGAGACAATGAGGAAAAAAAGAAAAGACAAACTGACAAGAAAAAACGAAGAGGAAAGATTGAAGAAAATGTATATAGGTACTTACAAAATACACTAAGACACGAACAGAGTAGGCTTTTCTCATGGTGACATGCATTAATAAAATGTTTGTTTTGTTCTTTTTTTTCTGCAGTTCCACGTTAAAGTTTGATGCAGCAGCTCTGCTTTTCTGAATGGACCGTCTCCATCTCCACTGTCAGTACAGCAAACCAGGCAGACATTCTTTTTTATAGATTACAGTACACTAAAAGGTTGCATTGTGCCCTTGTATGCATTTTTAACAGTTTAATTCTGTAAAGACAAAATATGTCTGGTGGTCCAGCTCTGATTTACATCTTTGGCTAAATTGCAGGTTTGAATATTGAAATACTTTCCTATAACAAAATAGACCCGCAGAAAGAAATTACTAATAAAATATTTTACATATGCATAGTTCTATGTTCTATGTAGAGATTTCCCTTAGCTTTGATTGTATGTCTCACAATTTTGTAATTTATCATTGTTCATTAAACTCTGAAAGCTATGTGACTTTGTTAATATTCTGTCCTAAAATGCGATAAGATGTGCCCTTTTTTTTTGAGCACCTGCCCCTTTAGTGGTCTCTGCACGGCCCTGCCACTAACTCAGAGGTGCTTGAATATCCAGCTTCTAACTAACTTCCCTGTACAATTCATGGCAGATTTCTAAAGATGTCTTAGAGTTCACAACGTTATTTTTCTCTACACATCCCATACGGCTGAGTTCTTTCTATATTGTGGCATTTTGAAAAACTTTGTCAAGAAGAGCCAGCACCATTGCAGCCATGCAAAATTCTGCAGGTAACTGTTAGGACAGCTCAGTGACAGCACAATAAAGATATTAAAAAATAGAGTTTTGACTAGTCCAAATTAACTGAAATAACTTAATTATAAACCTCGATGTATAACACCTTAAATGACAAATCAGATTTGACATATCTTTAAATGCATTTTGACTCTCCAAAATCTGATTTAAAATATCTTGAATTGTTATTTTTCCCTAGAAATATTATAAAAATATAAAACATCATTAGGGCAGTCAAAATTTAGTAAATAATGTATGTCTATTCTATTAAAATCTCTGTATCTCCATAATGGGTTTGTATTATGAGTTGTCTTCTCAATTCAGAGGGCCCCATGCCTGTCTTTACCTAGGGCCCCAAATTTCCTAAATCCACCCCTGCTTCGATTCTCTCCTCCAGGTTTCCTCTGCTGTGTCGAAAATTACCTCCTCTGTCGCGGGAGCGTGCATCTCCCTAAACTTACGCCCACTGATGAGAAAACGCATTGTAATATTATCGAAAAGGGAAATTTTAAACATATTCTTAATGTTTTCATATTTCTTATACATGGATGCCTTAAAATTGATAGTTTTGGTGGACAGATCAAAATATCAGATACCGGTCACATATAGGCAAAAAAAATCAGATTTGGCTCACTTCGGGCTGCTGTGTGAACGTAGACCAAGATCACGGGTGAAGGGAAAAATTTAAATTGTGCGAAAGAAACAAAACAGAAACAAAAATAGGCACTTGAATACATTCAAGTTTTTAATTGTTAATATTTTGTAGCTATATATCAAAAAACTATATCAAAAAAAATTTTTTATATCATATGTTGCTATTATAAGTATTTATTTGAGGGTTTTTTTCTTTTATTTTTGATTATGTCAGGTTTGATCTCTAAAATGATGATGCAATAAGCCTTATAAGTTTAGGTAAAAGTCTAAAAGCTGGCTCTATCACATGTCTACATTTTGTATCCATAGTTAACAGTGCAATCTCTTAATAAAAGTAAAGCCTTGCGTAGTGTTTCTCTTACCTGTGCTGTTGTCACTGGGCCTATAGCGTACTATTGTTTGGTGCTGGACCCACTCAGAAGGAACACCAAAGCCAACAGAAGTTCCAGCAGCTATCCTCAGCCGGTAAACCTGGTTTGGGCGCAGCTCCCTGAGCGTGAACTGAGTCTCATTGCCTCTCAGCTCCACTGAGAACATGATATCCACTATTGACAACACAGAGCACACTCAGGTTTTTTAAAAATCCCACGGGGACGTTTTAAAGTGAGAGCAAATGGGTGCTTTTTATTTTGTAAGATGGCATTTTGGATTTGCATATTTCCTGTTCCACTTATGAGAATTATGTAAAATATAATGCTTTCTGTTATCTTGTGGAAATAGGCTACATGGAGCGTTGGACTAATAAAACCATGAAGCCTGTAAAAAGGACTTAAAGGAAAAGTCCGGTCACATTCAAAATACAAACTTCTGAAAGTACTTTAAATATAAAGTTCTTACATACTGTTCAATGAATGATAAGTGTTTTTAAATTAAGAGTAATTTTCATATGAATGTGCTTCATTGGTGACATCCAAGAACACTACTGCCACCTACCGGATTATGACGTCACAGTGCGGTATGGGCTGTTGAGCAAGTCCCAGTGCTATATCTAGTGTTTGTCACAACATGCTATGACTCATGATGGTGACAATCAGTGCACTATGCGAAGCAGAGAGTAATGGATTAATGACGTGTTTTTTCTATGGCCAGAAGTTCAATGGCAAATCCTCCCTCTTCAAGTTGGCAATCCAACGATAAACCCGTCCGCGGAGGATCATGAATCGGAAAGGTGAAATAACACATTTTTTCCACTTTTAGCCGATGTATTACAACATCCAACTGCCATGCATGTGGGCATTGTCAGTTTCACTATAGCTCTGGTGAATTTCAATGGTGAAGTCCTCTGGAAATCTTCAATAATTGTTTTTGATCCTATTGATTTTCATTGTAAAACAAGGAGAATGGCACTAAGCTTACCGCACCTTGACGTCACTGCCAAAAGATGTCAGGAGTCGGGTGTTTCTATATTTGGGCAAAAGTGGCCGCTCCCAGACTCAATAATCTATAAAATATTGTTTTTATTTTTTTACCGATTAACAACAAATCAATTGCGAACGTATTAGTTTTAGGTGTAGATAATGACCCATTAATTATTCTTTACTGACCGGACTTTTCCTTCAAAATAGTAATTATTGTTCTGCATCCAAAGAAACATGTTCTTACCTTATATGTAAGCACGAACAAGGCAACAACAACATTCTAAATCAGTAATACAACAGTTTCATGGATGTAAGCCTACAAGTTCTTTTCAGTCTTTTTCAGTCCATTTATAACCATATGTTGATTTTAAATGTATAAAAGTGTTTTGCGTCATCATTGAGGTTACTCACTCTGATCCAGCGCACTGTAATCAATGCGGTAGCGGGTAACAGCTCCTCGGCTGTGCTGTGAGGACAGCGGCTGCCATGTCAGCCTGATGTCAGTAGGGGATGTACTAACTACAGAGAGCTGAGGCGGTGCACTAGGCACTATAAAAGGGAAGAAGGGCACATATTAATCAATCTTTTTGTCCTACAGTTATTCCAAAATGTTTACATAATTTAACAAAAACAGTAGTGTTTTTGGTATAGGGTTATTCATTTATAGCAGCAAAAAAATATTGCAGAATTTAAATTTAACTTTCTCCAGTGAAGTCACTTTAATTAATATCAAGCAGATATGTATAGATAGTATTAATCATTTCTTCGCTTTTAGAAATCCTGCAGTGTTACATGATTTATTGTATAGGTTCCGTTTATATTCTAGATCTAGTTAAAAATGCTAATTGTTTACATCTGTTGATCCTTTACACCTAACCCGTTATCTCACGTTCTCCCTCCAGCCAACAGCAGCAGCTCCAGCATGATCATTAGGTGCTTATTTTATACTTGTCCATTTTAAATGGGTACAGATCTGCAATAAAATTTATTTTAAACAATATTCTGTGCTTGGTTATCTGTTATATTTAATTTTTATGCAATAGGTGACATAATAATGATGATAGGGGCTTATTAACTCAACCCAGATAAAAAGCAATGTTTTTTAAACTCAGAAAGATAGAGTGGTCATTCTACAAAACCAATGATCTGAACAATAATTATCATTTGTGATGATTTTTAAAGGTGCCTGGGGACTCAGGAGGAGCTGTTAAGGATGGTAAGGATGGTATTCTACTTAAGATTTAACTTTCTGAGCATAGTGAAAAGCTGTAGGTATAAGTCTAACTTAAAATCTCCTCCTAAATGCATCATCCCGTAAAGCATACAACTGGGTTTACAGCATCAAACAGTGGGAACACTTTTCTTCAGTGGGTAAAGGGGAGTCGTGTTTTGTGAAAACAAAAGTATGTGGCTAGTTACTTCTGTATTAAGTATCTACTGTAGGTTAGTATTTCAGTTACTGCACAAAGTGACTAGTTTCCAAGAAAAGTAACTATGCAATACATTTTTTATGATCCAAAATTTTTTGGGGTTTTGATAGTTGCCCTGTTCTTTGAACTTTAAATACAACTGAGAGATATATTGCCAAATATAAGTTTAATATCAATAAGTTAATAAAAAAGAAAACAATTATCTGAAAAATATTATTTACTAGTGCTTTCAGATAACAGTATATCAGTGTCACACTAAACCATTTTGGTGTCTTAAGGAGGACAAGTGATTCAATAATTGCAATTTATGTAGATATGATTATATTATGTTTTTTACAATAAAATAACCCTCAGATTACTTGATATTCATAGACACCAACAGGCTTTACCTTGCAGTAAAATAGGCGTGTAACACTATAAAATAATCAAGGGGGCTAAAATAAAATCCCTTAGATTAAATAACAGTTATGTAGTAGGTGAGTTCAAGAATTTATGTTATCAGATTGTGTCTGGCTGAGCTGCAGCTGTTTTTGATGAACAGTGCAATAATTTCATTCCTGTGCAATGCATCACCAGAACTTGGCCGACAACCTTCACATATCATTTATAAAATATGTGAGAAAAATCTGAACAATTAATATGGGTGCTGCCCTTCTATCATTTGTAATATGGCTGTGTTCACAGATAAGTTCAATTTTTAGCTAATACAAAATAGAGTTGAATAAAATAAAGTTAAATAAAGTTAAAACCTGCTAATGTTTAAAGTTTTTCTTTTTGAGGACAAATTAAGTTCTTCCACATTTAATTTTTCAACAGTTGTCAATCAGGAGAAAAATAGACAAAATAAGTTCCAAAATTAAAGATATTCTATGAATAGATTGAAGAAGGTAATCATCTACTGAAGAAAAGCACAATGCTTACATTACCAAGATGTGAATATGTCTTTGGTAAATAAGCCTGTAGGAGTGCAGCAACATTTAATAAGCTTCATGAATTTGTGGCACGTACTGCCTATGGAGTATGTGCCAGACAAAATGTTCCTCACAGGGCTAACTCTTGATTTTTATTTAATCCCTAAATATAGTGAAATGTCTTCCAAATGTGGAAAAGGTTTAATTTATTTATGAAGTTTGAATCTTGCAGCAATAATCTCAAAAGAGATGTTTAGTATGAAAAAAAATGAACTAAATCAATTTGACAAAAATATATACTTAAATATATACGTAAAATATCAAATAATACATTAATTGACATTATTGGGGTATATATTTAAATGTAATAATTATTTTCTTTGTACTACTACAACAACTACTACTACTAAGACTACTTCTACTACTACTACTACTAATAATGTTATTATTATTATTCAAGGAGATATTTATTTTACAATGATTGGTCTAATTATTACATTTTGAGAAACTGTTGTGCTTGTGCTCCATAACTTGATGCAAAAACCCTACCGAAAAAAAACAACAAAAAACACCAGAACAACATAACTACTGCCAAGTAAGATGGTGTGCCTTCTTTGTTGCCTGAAGGAACTGCTACTTTATTCAAAGTGGGGAGAGATATGAACAATTTAAAATACAGAAATATAGAAATATAGAAATTTGAAAATCACAGAGCTTAGATCTGAATCTAACTGAAGATCAATTTAATTATCAGAAGAGGCCATTTCTGTTAGATGCCAGCACAATCTGCGATACCTTAAATATTTCGGATTGCATAGACTACCGTCATATATTATGCTAATAGACTCTAAACAAAATACTGCAAAATAATACATGTGTATCAAACTAAAATATAAATAGCTGCTTCATTTGGCTGTAATTTTTTCAATTGGATTTTAAAAATAGTTGCACCCATTATAGGATACACATATCAAATAATATCTTACATTTGTTTCTTAACATTACAAAACAAAAAATAATGGAAGGGTTAGCTCAAACTTCTAATATCCACGGTTCCCAAAAAGGCTCACACCAATTCAAGCAACATCATGCTGTTTGTTAGGATAATTATCATTGATTATGTGTGAATTTATTACACCTCAATATTAGCTGCCTGTTGTGTGTCAGAACTGATCTTTTGCACAATAGTTTATCAAATTAGGAGAGTTTCTCTGTCCAGATATACGTTTCTAATCTTCATTCTGTAAAAGGCAAAGATTTGGGGATGGGAATGAGAGTGGTGTCCTTCAGCTAAGAAGTAAGTATAATATTTTGATAAGGCTGGAGCCATGGATGTCTCCTCATCTGCATCGGCAGACTGAAGTATAAAATGCTTCTCTAACGGTTATTGGGCCGCTTCCCGAGAAGTGAGCCCAGTTGGTAAGCAGCTCCCTTCTGTAACTCTAAGCAACTTCTCTGATCTGAGTAAGATTACAATTTCTATCAAAATCTGTTGTCATGTCTCCTGGTTATTCAATACATATAACATTATGAAGTGTTATTTAAAGAGTTTTTCCGAGTAATCTCTTTTCAGGAAAAAGAACCGGAAAGCTTCAAAATGAGCTTTCCTTTAACATGTTCGAGTTTCTGCTAACTACTACAACAAAATTAGGGTTGCCAAGTCTGTGAAAATGAAATAAGGGACACTTCCTGGCCAGGCATTGTCTTCCACCTTGCTGGCATTATGAATTATTATTTTCTTTTTAATATGAGTGTGAATCCATTTTGTAATTATTTTAATAAAACCTAAAATAAATTAGACCCCTAATTTAGTTTTGTCGCATTGGACAGTTCATTTTTTTAAATGGGCAGTTGGCAACCCTAAACATGAGAGTTTAGTAGTCCTGGAAGACAGGATGTAATGAACAGCTGTCTTGTCTAAGAGCAGAAAGACCTTAGTTGTACAGTTTTGCTTTATTTAAGTGTATAGATTATTTGCCTTTTTATAAAGATTAAAGTACTTACCATCCTCCAGCATCTCTACAGTTACAGGCAGCGATGGAGGACTCGCTCCCATGGGCGAATAAGCCACCACAAAAAAAGTGTAGGCAGTATGGGGCCGAAGCTCTTTGATGAGATACTCTGTGGTTTCATTGCTAACGGCAAAGGAAGACTCCTGATTATCTGATCCTAAAAAGAATAGATTAACATCAAATATGTGAAGTTTATTTATTTCATGATCCCACCCCATTTTAAGCAAGCCACCTGCTGTGCGTTGGTAGTGAACAGAGTAGGCAATGATTTGGTCTGTGTTGTACTCAGGTTTCTCCCAGGAGAGCAGGGCAGTTGTGCTGGAGTAAGGAGTGGCAGTCAGGTGGCGTGGGAGGCTGGGGAGACCTTCCTTCACAATGACCGTCAGTCTGGCAGTGGCACAGGCTGTGCCAAGCCGATTTTCCGCAATGCACTGGTAGTAGCCTGCATCCTCCAGAGCCAGCTGGTTGATGAGCAGAACCCCAGGGCTTTGCATCTTTATCCGCCTGAAAGACCTGATGGGTTGGCCATTCTTTAGCCAGTGCAGCTCTGGAAGAGGCTCCCCTGAACTGTTACACAGAAACCTGGCAGTACTTCCTCTAGTGAGGGACACCGATTCAGGGGACTGAACAATCACTGGAGGGGCTGTTAAAAAAAAAAAAAGGAAGCAACCTTTAGCATTTTTACTCAGAACTGTCAGTCTGCAGTTTTTAACAGGAGAATCTGAATTCCACAATTACACAAAATCATCTATTTCACATTTTTCTGAAGGAAAAAGAACACTTACATTATTTCCACCTAAATAAGATGGTGTAAAATATTGTTTACTGCTTTGCTACAGTAGCAATCTACTGTCTAGGTAGTAAACAGATATTATGACAGGTAATATTGTTCAACAATTTTCAGTTTGTGGCTTTTGAGCCTTGAGAGGATACTACCTGGTTGACCACATTACGAGGGAACAGTTGATATCTACACAATGACTAACAAGAGAAAAGTTTCCTTACTGAAATTATATGAAATAAAACTAATCATATTTTGTTAATTAGGTTATTCCTTTCCTTTCCTTTTTTTCTGTCTTCTATTCATTTATTGAAAACGCAACATAACCAAACAGGTGACAACTGAAATCATGACTTAAAAGGAGCAGAAAGAAGTATAAACATATATCATTTGACCCCATTTCTATTTTTTTCCAACCCTATTTCCTTAAATGATATAATACTAAGAGCTTATTTTCAACGTCAGTTAAATTAAGATGTCTAAATTACATTGAAATGTTTGTCCCTATAAACAATTCAAAAAAGTCTACATAAAAATGTCATAGCATGGCATCATGGAAATATATACAGAAAAAAAATGGAGCTAGATGGAAGAAAATTATGAACCTCCACATGCCTGGTCACTTGTAAGGATACAGTACTAGCTGAATAAAAAAAAAAAGACAGTTGTTATAAGATTCTCATACCTAAAGGTCACCTAATGGACATTGTTCCAAAGACCTCAATTTTGTGACCTTATGTAACAAATACTGAAGCACTGGGGTAAAATGACAATCATTTGCAGTGGTGCAAAGGGTCACACAACCAGAAAATTATTGAAAGGTTTTTGACCAAAGTTCTACAATTTTTTAGATCCGTTGTATTGAATAAAAAATTGAGAGTTACCCTCTGAATTTATTGAAAGTTTAAAATGTATCTTAGGAAAAATATTCCTTTGTTAGATTAAGAATAGGAATAATTTCACTAATCCTAAAAGGCTTCAATAATGAAAATCCTTTGTAAAGATTTGATTTCAAAAAGTTTTTTCTCCTTCGGCAACAGTTCAGATTAGTTTCTGCAAGTACTGTATGTAGTTACTGGTTGAGATGCACTTACAAATAGATGTTCACTTGTAGCTATACAAATAAAATACTTGTTCGTACAAACATGATCAGAATCTTTACTTAGAAAAAATACATGCTTAATCAGTGCTTTAGATCATATTAGACCTTTCAATACTGTGAAGATGAATATACAGACTAACCTTAAGAGCTGTCTTAAAATAGAGATATAATTCATTACATAATTTCTCAAACATCACTCTTACCAGCAACATGCAATTCAGCAGCAGCAACGACAAACTCTCTAGTCTTGGGCTTGTTGGCTCGGCAGACATAGACACCAGCATGGTGGCGCCTAGTGTCCCTAACCACTAGGTTTGTTGCAAGGACGATCACGTCAGTGGAAATGGGTTTTCCGTCTGATTAAATGAGAAAACAGTGTGGAGCATGAGCATAGTTAGATGTCACAGGCTGGAGAAAGAAAACTGCAACTAGTCAGCGGGGGAGCTGGCTCCCTGGGAGTGCAGCAGGCACCCCAGTCCTTTGCTCCCCATCCCCGAAATCCTCCCTCTGCCTGCTCCATCACTCGGCCACACATGTAGGTTTTTGGGGAGGGGGTCGTTACTGGAGGGCCACACCTTCTGATGACGTCCCCCACCCCAATTTTATTTTGCATTTTAGACACTTCCATCTACATCATTTTCACAACACACATCTATGTAGGGCATTTTCGGGGGGTGGGGGTCAGGGCCACCGGGGGGGGGGCTTATTTTATGGGCCTCACCACGGTCGGCCTCCTCCATCCCCTCTCGCATCTAGACATTGAGGGTTGAGGGTTGTCGAAGGGGGAGGGGGTGCTGGCACCGTCTATCTCCTGGAGGGGGGGTGGAGTGTGCCGGACACCCCCTCTTGGTACTCCCAGTTTTAATTGCATCTGAGAGCAACACGCAACAACACCACATTCGAGCGGGCGCAGTGAGGATCGGGGTCTTCTCACACCCCTGTTCTCCGGCTGCCGCCTGGAGTCTGGGGCCTGGAGCGGGCCACCTGGTCCGTGGTTTTGGCTGGGGCTGGCTGCGGGGCCTAGGTGGCCTGCTGGTGGCGGGGCTGTCACCTCTGCTCTCCCCAAAGAAGGTTGGATGGAGGGGCATGAAGTGCCTGGTTGAAGGTTTTTTTTTTTTTTTTTTTTTTTTTTTTTGTTCTTTTCGGGGGGGGGGGGGGGGGGGGGGGGGGTTCGGGTTGGGTGGCCGGCGCGGGATGGGTGGGCCCCGGTCCCGGGGGGGGCTCTTGCGGGGGGTGGTCCGGTCCGTGTGCGGGGTGGGGGGCCGGGCTTGAAGCAGGAAAGAGATGGGTTGGTGTGGCGGTGTCGCCGCTCCCCTCCCCTCACATCCGGATTTTAGGTTCACTTATGGGGTCATCCGATAGTCCCGGGACCGACCACCGGCGTCACCGGGTTTTTGGTCCTGGTATTATTGGATGTGAGTGTTATGTGTGAATGTGTGTCTGCGTTGTTATTTTCTTTATTTATTATTATTATTATTTTATTCAATTTTTTTTTTTTTTTTTTTTTTTTTTTTTTTTTTTTTTTTTCCTGTGGTACGAGTGGGGGCACTAGGGAGGGAAGGCATGATTGAGATGGTGTGTTTTTTTTTTTTTTTTCTTTCCCAGGTTGGGGTCTCAACCGCACCCTCTCCCAAATACATCTCAAGTCTCCGCTAAGTGCGGAGCCCATTCCCCCCGTCCTGCTCTCCCTCCGCTGGCTGGCGTCGGGGCTCACCGGTGCACTGTTGGAGCTGGGGGTGGATGCCCGGGGGACTGCTGGCTCATTCCTGGCGGCCTCTCCACTGGCCCCGGCCGGCCGGGGCTTTGCTGGGGCTCCTGTCTGGGGGTGGGGTGCCCTTGGGGCCTCGGATCCCTGGGGCCTGGGACTGGATCCGCTTCGGGGTGGGGCTGGGTGTTGTTCGGGGATTTTCGGGGTCGGTGCCGGTGCCTTCGCTACGATGCCGGTTCCTGGGCGGTGTTTCTTTCCTATGCCGGTTCTGTGGTATCGGTTCGGGGAGGGGGGGAGCTGCGCGGCATGGTGGGGTGCGGGTCTTGGGTCCTGTTTTGGGCTCCGGTTTTTCCGCTCGCACTTCTCCTCTTGCCTATTTATTTTAATTGTAATTATTAATTAATTTATTTATTTACCTATTTATTTGTTTTTTTTTTTTTTTTTTTTTTTTTCTCTTCCTCGGTGGGGGGGAGCGGTTGCGGGCGGGTCGGTGTCCGGTGTCCGCTGTCGCATTGTGGGGGCCCCTTTTTTTTTTTTTTTTTTTTTTTTTTTTTTCTTCTCTTTTTTTCTTTGGGGGGTTTGGCATGTCTGTTTTCTCGGGGGGCAGGCGGGCCTGCTGGGTGGGGGTCCTGCTGGCGGCGCGCCGCTGGTGTGTGGGGGTCCGGGCGGCTCCGGCGGGGGTAGTGTTGGGGGGCCGGTCTGGGCGGGCTGGCTGCGCTGGCTGGGTATTCGGGTGGGTTTTCCCTCCTGGAGGCATGGCGGGGCTGCTCTGTTCCCACTGATCGCGGCGGGTGGGGCTGCGGGGCGGGTGTGGGCCTGGGGTGGCTATGACCGGCGCGTGGTGGGGGGCCGGGGCGGCGGAGCTGCTCTGGCCGCGTGTCGGGGCCTGGTGCGGGCTGCGGGGGGGGGTGGCGGACGTGGCTGGGCTGCTTTGGCATCGTCCGGTGGGGGGGGCGGCGCGGTTCGCTCCGCTCTGGCTTTGTGCTGCCCCTCGGGCTGCTGGGGGGGGTGGTTGCGCCGGCTGCGGTCTGCTCCTCTTGCGGTTTTGCGCCGGGCGGCTTTTCTGCTCTCGGGCTGATTCTGTGCGCGGTGTGTTTCGTTGCGCGCTGTTGGCATCGGTCTTGGTGGGTTGGGGCTGCGCTTTTGGCCGGGGGGGCGTTTTGGGGGGGGTCCCGCGGCGCTCGTGGCCGGTTCGCGGCGGATGCGCATGGGCCCCGGCCGGGGGCGGGGCCGTCTTAGTGTTTTCCTGGGTGGTGCGGTCGCGGTGGGTGTTGCGGCCGGTCGCCGGGGCTTGGTGCGGGGGGGCGGGGCGTGTTTCGGTGCTCTGTGGGGCTGGGGCGTTTCGGTCGGCGCCGTGGGGGGGCTGGTGTTCGGCGCCCGGCCCTACTTCGGGGTGGCCGGCTGCCGGCGGGGCCCGCGGACTCGTCCCCGCGGCTCCCCGGGGCGCCGGCATGGCGGTGGCTGGGGGGCTTCCTCGTGGCTGTCTCTCCTCCTGCCTTGGTGGGGTCTGATTTCCGGGGCTGGCCCCGCCTTGGTGCCTTCGCTTCTGGGGTCCCCTTGGGCGCCTGGGGCTTTGGGTCTCCCGGCGCTGGACTCAGTGCTCTGGGGGGTGTGCCTCTCCGGCTCTCCACAACCACTATTGAGCATTTTTTTCTATGGTTAAAACTTTACATGCACAAGTTCACCCTCACAAACAACTACAGGTGCTAGGCTTCAGGTACTTAGAGATTCACTTCCAAACAGAAACCCCACATTCATATCTTCAGGTAACACAGAGTACATGTCAGACTTAATAATATTACTTTAGTGATAGTTTCAAGGTGTTTGCTTTATTGTATATCTCGTACCATGTTTTTTGGTTGTGCTGTTCTTTTTTCTTTTTTTTTTTTTTTTTCTCCATCTCATTACAGGTGTTGAAGCAGACTGAAAATGTTTTGTCATTGTCTCCTTCCTATCTCCTCTTTCTTTCATCTTTTGTCCTGTTTTTTTCTTTTTCTTTTTCCTTCTTCTTCTTCTGTTTTTCTGCTCTACTTACATTGCAGTGTCCATATGAACTGTAAAACTCCCTGCATAATTATAATAAAGCAATTTATATACATGAAACAAGTGGAGCGGTATGGCAATTGCGATACCGCTACACTTGTGAAAGTAAAATCTGTTGGGCTCCTTTTGGCATCAAGACAATTATTCTTATTGCCACCTTGCCAGACAGGACACTGTAGAAAAAAAAAAAAAAAAAAAAAAAAAAAAAAAGAAAACTGCAACTAGAGATAATTTTTTCAGTCTTTAAAATGCCAGAGAAAAAATGTCAGAGAGAGAAAGTGTGAGCGTTTTGAATAGCAGACAATATGGTAGGAATATGGAGGACCAGCTCTACCATATTTAAAAATAAATACAGAAATAAATAAATGCTCCATAAATAAATAAACATGCAATGAATGCCCCCAAATACAATAAACAAATAAATGTAGGTAGAAATCAAATTATACAGTGAGACATAAATGTATTTATCTCTTTTAATTAGCTTCTTTATTTATTCGCCTTTGTAATAATTACCTTATTTATTTATTTTCCGTTATAATCTTCAACTTTATTTATTAATTACTTATTTTTTAAGTATTTATTTACGTGCATGTTATATTTTTGTCTGCTTTATTCTTCCTTTGTATTTTTTCCTCTGTACTTTTTTAATAAGGTAATTATTACAAAGGCAAATAAATAAAAAAAGCTAATTAAAAGAGATATATGCATTTATGTCTCACTGTATTACTTTACATTGTATTACATTTCTACCAACATTTATTTGTTCATTGTATTTTTGGGGGCAATTAATTGTATGCTTATTTATTTATTTCTGTATTTATTTTAAATCTGGTAGAGCTGGTCCTCCATAAGGATAATACTGAAGCATTTCCAAGATTGCAAAGTGATCAAAGTGGGCTAAATGCTCTTCAATCAACACTGCAAAAATTCAATTTTCTTAAAATTTCCTGAATTTTCCCTTGAATTAAGAATGTAAGTGAGACTCTTTGCCTGTAGAGTAAGACAATTCACATAAAAAAAAAAAATAATAAAAAAAAAAAAAACTGCAGTCACATATTTAAAAGGTATAAAGTCTAATTATTTCATTTTAAGGGTAAAAATACTAATTTCATTGGGAGAAAATCTTATTTACCTACTCAAATGAAGGGTAAATACATTTATTTTAGGCAATTATTTTACTAACTTTTAGAATTTTGCAGTGCAGCTTCACTAAGAGAAATAGATGTTATAAGAACAGCAGATTCTTAAAAAGTACCACAAGGCCCCACCAACCAAAACACAGTATAAAAAACATACTTTTTTACTTTCTTTGAAGTTGGCAAGAATAAAACGAGGCGATGGACACTACCACAATTACTCTGTTAGGTTTGTTATCAAACTTAGAGATAGAGGCTAGTTCAGATTTAAGCACCATCTTTCTCAGGTATCAATGCACCAATTCAGATTTTTTCACTTTTAATCTGTTCTTGATAACTGAAATGGATATGTGCCGAAGTTGATGCTATTATTGTTTTTTAGTTGTTTTAAGTACCTTTAAATTTTTAAGTATCATATTTATGAATGTAACCATGTATATCCCAAAATTTGACATAATTATTATGTCAGAAAAGGAAGACAGAAAACAGTAAATGGTGTTTAAAAAGACCTACCTTGTCTACTCCAAGACACAAAAGGTTTTGGGTGACCCTGCGCCATACACTCCATCACAGCAGGATGGCCCAGTACCACAGTGACATTCTGAGGTGGCACAACAATCACCACTGGGTTCAGGGTATCAATGGGTCCTGTGACAACAACATTGGAAAACACTTCAGTGTACAGTTCACCGTTTTACAACAGCACTTCTACAATAACAAGATCTTTTACTTTATGTTTTTTGCAAACATTTAGTAATTTTTCAGCCAGCAAACTACTAATTGGATCTAAATGCAATACAAAAAGAATTTACGTAAAATAGTAGATAACTACTTAATTGAAATGATGTATTGCCTCTTAGTCTTTTGGATGGTTGATGCACATGTCCCACTTAAAGAACATGTGATTGTAAAGGCTTGGAATGAAAACAGGACAAATATTTGATGAGAGCACAAAGCAAAAGGCGATTCAAAACCTGCAGATAAACCTTACCAAAGCAGGAAGGAAACATTACCTAGAGGACTGAAACAGGAGATAAAACTGAAGCTACAGGAGGTGGTGTGTTAGAGGTAAAAGCCCATTATATGGTTGAGAAAAAGAGAAGATTACACAGAAGAAATAGGGCTTTTGAAAAGGCCTAAAAGGTACTCTGTCACAGCTTCAGGTATCAAAATAAAGGATTCTGAGCATCCTTAACAACAAAGGGTGATATTCAAACCAAACTTTCCATGGGTTGAATAAGTGCTCGTCTTAGATCTTAAGTCCCTGAGGTAAAGCCGGAGTTGATGAAAGGAATGATCTCGGCTTAAGGGTGCTTCATTCAGCCAACACATCATCCATTAATCATTGAAATTGCATACAAGAAACCTTGATGATACATCAGGCTTTAAGAAGGTCAGGCTGCCTCTGCAACAACTTTCTAGCAGATAGTTCCTACAAGTGATGAATCTGAAAGGTGTGTGTGTAATGAACTGCCAAAAATAGAAGCCAAAGTAAAGAATAGACAGAAGAAAAACAATGTAAACATTTGGCTGTGTCTATTAATGTTTTAGCTATTTTTTAATCTTCTGAGTATTGAGTTATTTTGGTCCGTTGCTGCCTTCATTACTACCATCAAATCTGTCATCATGTAAATAGACATTATTTTAAAAGGAAGTCATTTTACTGAGAAACCTGAAATCATAACCTCAATGAGGCTGCAGATGAGGAAATTCATGCAAATTAAAAGAGTATAGGCAGAACAATTTTCTGTTATTACAATATAATTTATGCCTCAGATTAATGAGATTAATACATCAGCATAATTTTAATTCAATAGTTTATTTATATAGCGCCAATTCACAACACACGTCATCTCAAAGCACATTACAGAAACAATTCAACCAGAAATCGATTCAGTTTTCTATTTAAGGAAAACCAGCTGATTGAATCGCTAAATTGACTCAAAGGCAATTCCTCACACCAAACATACTTGTTGTGACAGTGGAAAGGAAAAACTTCCTTTTAACAGGAAGAAACCTCCAGCAAAACCAGGCTCAGCGTGAGCGGCCATCTGCTGAGGCCGACTGGGGTTCAAGTCAGAAGAAAGAGACAGAAGCAGACATAAATAAAATGAGCAAATTGCCCCTAACCAAAAAAAGCAAGTGCAATATGTCTCAATAAATATAGGCAATATACTCTCATGAAATAAGATATGCGGAGAGAGTGGTTTAAAGCATTTATACTGAGTGTGTTTTTAAATTTGCATAGGTGTGTGATAAGGAAAATTGGGCAGTGCGGATGGGTTGAAGCTAAGTTGAGGTAATTTGGTCACACAGACACATCAAGCATGAACCAGAATTTAGGCAGTTGAAAAGAAATAACCAGTCGAGATATCTGAAATCTCTATAGTATGCTTTTGTATCAACTTCTTATGAAATGGTGCAGTCAAATAAAAATAACTGAAAACCACCTCAACCCATCAAGAAAACAAGAACAGCTGTGCAGTGTTTCTGCTCACTGACCTTACTTTACCATTAACACGCCCTCACTCAGCATTGTCCATCGTAAAAATCCACTCCGTTACTGGATTTTAGAGCTCAGCTCCCTCAGACACCATCCCTCATTACAATTAGTTAGGTGAAGTGTTGGCCATGAATATAACAGCTCTCAGGGCTACTGATTAGGTTTTTTTTGTCCCCTGCTCCGTTTGGTTACATTGAGAAAGAGCTGAAAATGGCCTCCACACAAAACTGTTTAAGCAAACAACTGAAGGAAAGGTTCCATCATGGGTACCTGCAGTGATGGGAGTAACGGCGTTGAAAGTAACGGCGTCAACGGCTTAAACTCCAGAGGGGAATTCATACACCCCGCTGGTCTTCCTTCCCGATTCCTCTCCCCCCCCGCTCTTTTTCACACACACACATAGGGCTCTGGGGAGGGGACTTCGGGCTGGTGCTGAGAGGGGGGCATCAACGTGCCTTAGCTCGCCGCATGCCGAGACAACCTGCTCCCCAGTTTTTAACTGCATTTAGACACTGGACACATGAAACAACAACAGCTCGCAATCACCTCTGGGAGGCGGGCCGCGGAGTGTGTGTGTGTGTGTGTGGGGGGGGGGATAGGTGGCCATGCTGTCTGTGCGGCCCCGCTCCTGACATGGCTTAGCACTGCCTCTCAGTTTTAACCGCCAACAACACACATTTTACACATAGCCATGAGCGGGGGAGAAAAAACAAGAAAAAAAAAGAGAAAAAAAAAGAAAGTAACGGCGTTACTAACGCCGCTACCTTGTTTTAATAACGAATAATCAAAATGATTACTCTTACTGTAACTATAACGCAGTTACATTTGCCGAAATCCCGTTACTGGACGTTACTTAGTTGCACAATTAACCTTTTTTCATGATAGGACTCGTGCGAGCGTCATGAGAGAGGGGAGGATGGAGAGTGAGGAGGACTCCAGTGGCAAAACAGCGTTTTCCAGCTGGAAATACCGGTGTTACATCGAGCTGCGTTTCCCCATTAGATACGGTTTCCCCTGCATCTCCACACAGCGCGGCGGCACGATTCACCGCGCAAGCGACAGGAAACGCGCATGCTCGCTAAAGGCGCTTAACAGCTGCCCTGTGCTCGCGCCACAGGGGAACTACGATGAGCGTGAACGATCATTTGCCTTTATGGAGAAAGAGAGAAATATGGATGGATGGATGGATGGATGGAATAGATAGATATAGCTACATGTTGCAGTATCTATAACAACCCAAACACAGGATTTCAGAATTAGACATCCCCAGTTATTAATTTCATACACTCGCAAAAGTAACACAATAGTTACTTTTACTAGTAACTAGTTACTTTTATTGTGGAGTAACTCAGTTACTAACTCAGTTACTTTTTGGGAGAAGTAACTAGTAAGTACAACTAATTACTTTTTCAAAGTAATGTGCCCAACACTGGGTACCTGTCACCACAGGAACAAAAGAAGTAAGAAGCAGGGAAAAAGAGCAGGGTGGAAGAGGAGAGACCTACGTTGACTGTCATGTGCAAACTTTCCTTTTTATAACTCAGTAAGTGCTTTAATTTTTTTATAGCCTCCAACGTCTAAGAAGCCAGATCAAAAACAAATTAAATCTTGCACTCCAATTTTGTTAGCCTAAAACTGAAAACATCTTAGAAAAGAAAAGCTGACAGTGCACATTTGCAAATAAACAAGAGTTTTGGCATGTTTTAAGACAAGACAGAAATACCATTTTTGAAATAAAAAAAAGGGGGGATTCTTTACATATGTCATATTTTCAATCAGAGACCACCCACTAGAAAACCAACTGACAAGCACTTTGTTGTAAAAACCTCACCATACCAGCTGCTTTTTTCAAATAGAGAGAAAGGGTTGGTTTCCAAGAACCAGTGCTGCTTTTTTTAAATTGTGTTTTAGATACATCATTTATAGAAATAGAAAGCAATTATTCATTGGCATACTATGCTTTTGTAATATCCTATTCACATTTAACAGCGAATTAACTTCAGTGCTGATCACAAGTACGTTTGGGATAAATTACAGTTTCTTATCATTACTGCAATTTCTTGGAATAAAGAGTGTATCTTGCAATGGCTTTAAAACATGCTGCCAGTACATACTTATCCTAACTCATCAAAGTAAATTAGAAAAGAGTATAATAAACCACCAGTCAAAGATTGAAATATGAATCATTTAATTACTATTTTTATCATTAACTTATAAATGTACTCATTTGGTAATTTACTCTTCAACCACATTCCCATTTTATTTTGACTAAAAGTAAAATAATTTCTTTGTATTTAAGTAAGAGTTTGGGGTTAGAGGTTGTCAAACATAATTCATAAAGAGCATCTTTTTTTTCTAATTATGGGGATGCATAGTTGAAACTATTGACATAAAGTATACAGCAAACCTTTTTCTTAACATTACTATATTTTCTCTGTGTCTTTTATTTAACCCTCTCCCCGCCTTCCTGTGATTCTGAATGTAGAAGACAGATTCAGCAATAGGGATCTTACCAGAAACCTGGGGTATGATCTAGAAACAACTTACCATTGCATCCCCTTCAATCATCAAACGCCACAAAGCACCGCAAAAGACCTCACCTGTTGTGACAGTGAGTCTGGCTTCAGTGCTGATGTCCTTTCCGGCAGAATTGGACGCAACACACTGGTAGATGCCCTCATCTTCTTTAGTCACCTTCAGAATCTGCAGAACCCCATTAGGAAGGTAAATGAATCTGTTGTTGAATGAGGGGAAGAACAAAGAAACAGAAAACAAAGAAGACAAAAAAGAATTACTACAAATTGCTTGGTACAACCATTCATAGGTAAGGAGTAGAAAATATCTACTGGGGCCCTACAATCTACAATACTTTTTTCATGGGATGAAGAATTGACCTTCAAAAAGATAAGACTATAATACCTAGCTAAACACCAAACAGAGAAAGCATAGTAATATCCCAGCTAATATTTTTGGTGGTCCCCTTTTTCTGCCAAAACATCATATACTCATTGATACATAGAGCCTGATGTACTGTGGTATTTCACAGCAAGATATTAACATCGATAATTTAATTGCAGCAACTTGCGAGTTTGGATCTCCATTGGTCAGGTTATTTGGACTGATAGTATGGAAATATGGAAGATGAGTCATCACCTCAACGTTCTTCTAGTGCTTCAAAAGACAAACCCAGAACCACTTCATTCTGCTGAAAGAGCCCACGGAAAATTGTGATGGCGGTTTTTATTAGTACCATGCCTGCAACTATGTTAAAAGAACAGCCATTTTAAGGCTGTCAGTATGAACTGATGATGGCTGGGCAGGGCCGTTATTGGTGTATAATGGTTTGACTGTTGAATTCACAAATCAGGGGTTTATACAGTTGATGCAGTGTCTGCTGGTCTGCTAGGCTATGCTTGTAAGAAAGATATACCTGTCAATTTGTGCTACACCAATATCAACATGACAATCTATGCTGAGAAGAAAGAACAAGAATTTCTTTCCATAGTCTTCAACAAAGGCAGAGGAAATGAGAGGAAAGTGAAAAGGCTCTGTGTAGGAGGCCATAGCGAGTGGAATGTTTGAGTTAGCATTTCAATAATGATTACAGTAGAAACTAACACTATGTTCTGTATTTAGACTCAGTCCAACTGATGACAAACACAAGTAGAGATGAAGCCATCCCTTATATGTCACAGGGCATATCAATTGATATAAAACACAAGCCAACACTAATAACTACTTAAAATCAAATGCAGATCAGAATCTTTGTCTGCTGGCCTAGCTTTTTCTAGTAGTGCCACTTTTCCCCAAGTAATACACATGCATCTCAACCACATAAAATCAAAAGAATATGTGTTACAGTTGTTTGCCTGGCTCATAAGATGCAACAAATAGCCTTGGCTAATTGTTACCCTGTAATTGACTGATTATTATTTCTTCCATGAGCAAGTTTCAATACATACTGACTAAAGCAAAATAGCAATAAACTCCAATCACTGCAGTTTGGGAGGTTAGGCCTATTCTCCCAATTCCCTTAATTATTTCCTCTTGAACATTCAATCTGTTTGTGCTCTGTAAACTTCTAATAGAAAGTGTTCATGGGCTGTAATATACATCTCATACACCATAAGATGCCATAATAGAAAGATAAGTGTTATCTATAACACCAGTTAGTGGTCAAATTTTAACACCTGGCTGGTTTTAAACTGTTACCTGGTAAAAAAAAATGTTTTACTTAGAAAACCAACATGGTACAATTTAAATAGCACATATTAAACTTTTAAGTACAAGGTTAACATGATAGAAATCAATATATCCCAGGAAAACATTACTTCTGCAAGTGAAACCATTAGCTCCAAGCCTATTTAATGATATCATCAAGCCTAGTGATTTTTCAGACAGTTAACATGATAAAATATTGTTATCTACAGCCTTTTCATGTGGGGAATGTGAAAGAATGCAAAAAGAAAATTGGAAAAAATAGAGGGTAACTAAGAAGAAGCAATGAATAGGGAAAAAAATAACCAGAAAAGATGGATATGATGAGGAAAGGATAGAGGAAGGTGAATGGAAGGTCAACAGCAAAAGAGGACAATGGATTATACCAAAGAGCTGGCAGATAGTCTGGGTGAGAAAAAGTCACATAAAAGCATGAGAGAATAAAAAGAGAAAAGCCACTGTAATATCAGCTATTTCTTGACTGATTTGTGTGAGAGATCATTAATATTGCCTGGTGAGGGAGAACCATATTGCACCAATAAGATCTTCTTAGCAGCAAGCTGTCTGTAGGTCATGTGGGGCTATAGCCGACATTAACCGTTCACCCTCCATTATAGGACAGGAAATACATTCCCTGACCTTAGGGCTACAGTAAAAAGTCTATTACACTAAGCTCTAAATGAGAATATTTCTGAGAGAACTCGCAAAAGAATCTCTTACAGAGACGGAAACATGGGCTTACATGCTAATTTTCTTCTTTTTTTTTTAGAGGACTAACACAGGGGTGCTTGTTTTCACAGGACTATTCTTCAGTGTCCCTCTTACAGTTACTGGAATCTTTAAATGGCTTTTTTTAAAACAGCCTTTAATACATTTCAATATAGCCCATAATTGCCATTTTTTTAAAGACCTGTGAAAACATCCTTGCCTCAGCTCCAGATATGTCATTCAAGATTCAACATTCTGCTGTAGAAGTGAAAATAAATATATCTAATTAACAGGAACAGACAGACAGATCAAGACAGTTTCAATGTTTTTATCACGTAAAGGTAACATCACTGCCAGTAGTGATGCACACTAAAGCTTTCAATGCAAGGCCATTACAGTGTAGTACACTGTGCATTACACTGTAATGGCCTTGTATGGAAAGCTTTAGTGTGCATATATATGTATATATATATATATATATATATATATATATATATATATATATATATATATATATATATATATATATATATATATATATATATATATATATATATATATATTATTGTTTTTATAATATATGTGTGTTCTGTAAATTCAGCGCCACACTAGTTGCCAGAGAATCAGTAACCCCCCCCCACTTCCTGGCAGTGTATTTTTTTATGCTTTTCTGTTGCGCTTTTTTTTTGCTCAGTTTGTTTGGAAAGAAAGCCTTAGTTGTTCATTGCTTGTTTAAAATAACAAGAGAGGCACACTATGCTGTGTGAGTGTTTAAGGAAATAGTTGACCTAAGCCAGTAAACACCTCCTTGTAAAAATGATGAAGAAAAGCCCAAGATCCAGTTTGAAAAATAATGCACAAAATAAAACTTGTAATTAAAACTTGATTCCAATAGGTCTTAGACTTAAATAGCTTTTAGAATAGAGTTGATTTAATAATAGAGGTTATCAAAGCGTTCAGGCAGGAAATTAATGAGGAGTATACAGAAGCAACTTAAAGTCAAGACAGGAGAAAGCAAGGAGACATACAGGAAGAAAATGGAAAACAAGCTCCAGATAAATAATATCAGAGATGTGTGGCCAGGGATAAGGAAGATCACAGGCTTCAAGCAGAGGGGTAATCAGATGAACGTCTGGACAGAGCGAATGAACTGAATACATTCTTCAACAGGATCAAGCTGGGAACAAGCACAGCACCCTTCTCTCTTGCCCACAGACAAATGGACAGCCTGTCCTCATCTGCCATTGAATCTCCTGCATCTGAGTTTGTTGTCAGCAACATCAAAATTAATGCTAGTCCCTCCACCTTTCACCTGTTTATCTCTAGAAGTGAAGTGAAAAGGCAACTGGAGAGACTGAATACTAATAAATCAACAGGTCCCAATGATGTCAGACCCAGAGTTGTGAAGGCCTTTGCATAGACACTCTGTGGAATTCTACAGGATCTCTTCACCCTTAGTCTGACCATGGAGACAGTTCCAGAGATGTGGACGACCTCCTGCCTTCTTTTAGTATGAAAGAAGACTAACAGTCCTCAGTGACTATAGGCTTGTTACCCTGACATCCCACACCATGAAGGTCCTAGAGATACTTCTGTTGATTCACCTCAGCAAGCGAACAAGCAGCTATCAGGACCCCCTGCAGTCTGCTTATCACTGTGGGGTTGGAGTTGATAACGCCATCATTCACCTACTTCAACAAACCCAGTCTTATAGAGAAGGCAGATACTACTGTGAAGATCATGTTTCTCCAGCACATTTAACATAATATAGCCTAACTTACTTTATGAGAAATTTCAGAAGACTCAAGTGGAGGCATCAACAATCGCCTGGATCAATGACTACCTGATAAACAGACCACAGTTTGTTAGACTGAAGGGTCAGCTGTCTGAATAAATAGTCAGCAGCCCAGGAGCACCATAGGGGGCGGAATTCTCACTATTCATTTTTTTCTCTCTATACTTCTGATTTGAATTAAATGAGTCCTGTCATCTGCAGAAATGCTCAGATGACTTTTCAGTCATTGGGTGCATGGTAGATGGACAAGAAGCTGAGTACAGAGAGCTGGTGAACCGCTTTGCGGCACAGTGTGGAAACTATCATCTGATCTTCAAAGTCAACAAAACAAGGGAGATGACTGTAGATACCAGAAGAAGGAATAAGTTGAAACCAATTAAAATAATGGCATAAGAAGTGAAGGTGGTTAAGTATTATAAATACAGTGGGGCAAAAAAGTATTTAGTCAGCGACCAATAGTGCAAGTTCTCCCACTTAAAAAGATGAGAGAGGCCGGTAATTTTCATCATAGATATACCTCAACTATGAGAGACAAAATGAGAATAAAAAATCCAGAAAATCACATTGTCTGATTTTTAAAGAATTTATTTGCAAAATATGGTGGAAAATAAGTATTTGGTCAGTTACAAAGAAGCAAGATTCCTGGCTCTCACAGACCTGTAACTTCTTCTGTAAGAGGCTCCTCTGTCCTCCACTCGTTACCTTCATTAATAGCACCTGTTTGAACCCGTTATCAGTATAAAAGATACCTGTCCACAACCTCAAACAGTCACACTCTAAACTTCACCATGGCCAAAACTAGAGAGCTGTCAAAGGACACCGGAAAACAAAATTATAGACCTGCACCAGGCTGGGAAGTCTGAATCTGCAATAGGTAAACAGCTTGGTGTGAAGAAATCAACTGTGGGATCAATTATTAGAAAATGGAAAACATACAAGTCCACTGATAATCTTCCTCGATCTGGGGCTCCACGCAAGATCTCACCCCGTGGGGTCAAAATGATCACAAGAACGGTGAGTAAAAATCCCAGAACCACACGGGGGGACCTAGTGAATGACCTGCCGAGAGCTGGGACCAAAGTAACAAAGGCTACCATCAGTAACACACTACGCCGCCAGGGACTCAAATCCTGCAGTGCCAGACGTGTCCCCCTGCTTAAGCCAGTACATGTCAAGGCCCGTCTCAAGTTTGCTAGAGAGCATTTGGATGATCCAGACAATGACTGGGAGAATATCATATGGTCAGATGAAACCAAAATAGAACTTTTTGGTAAAAACTCTACTCGTCGTGTTTGGAGGAGAGAGAATGCTGAGTTGCATCCAAAGAACCCCATACCTACAGTGAAGCATGGGGGTGGAAACATCATGCTTTGGGTCTGTTTTTCTGCTAAGGGACCAGTACGACTGATCCGTGTGAAGGAAAGAATGAATGGGGCCATGTATTGTCAAATTTTGAGTGAAAACCTCCTTCCATCAGCAAGGGCATTGAAGATGAAACGTGGCTGGGTCTTTCAGCATGACAATGATCCCAAACACACCGCGAAGGACTGGCTTCGTAACGAAGGTAACGAAGGAGTGGCTTCGTAAGAAGCATTTCAAGGTCCTGGAGTGGCCTAGCCAGTCTCCAGATCTCAACCCCATAGAAAATCTTTGGAGGGAGTTGAAAGTCCATGTTGCCCAGCGACAGCCCCAGAACATCACTGCTCTAGAGGATATCTGCATGGAGGAACGGGCAAAAATACCAGCAACAGTGTGTGAAAACCTCGTGAAGACTTACAGAAAACGTTTGATCTCTGTCATTGCCAACAAAGGGTATATAACAAAGTATTGAGATGAACTTCTGTTATTGACCAAATACTTATTTTCCACCATATTTTGCAAATAAATTCTTTAAAAATCAGACAATGTGATTTTCTGGATTTTTTTTTTCTCATTTTGTCTCTCATAGTTGAGGTATATCTATGATGAAAATTACCGGCCTCTCTCATCTTTTTAAGTGGGAGAACTTGCACTATTGGTGGCTGACTAAATACTTTTTTGCCCCACTGTACCTTGTTATTCATTTGGACAACAAACAAGAAAGAAAACAAAACAGTGAAATCAGCTACAAGAAGGGACAGGACAGATTGCACTTCTCTAAGGAAGCTAAGGTCCTTCATCATTTGCAGCATTTTACTACATATCTGTTGTGGAGAGTGTAACCCCTTCCTCCATCATCTGCTGGGGTAACAGCATCAGAGAAAATGACTTCAAAATTCAATAAGGTTATAAAGAAGGTCGGCTCTGTTCTAGGAATTAGAACCTCTGGTCATTATTTCACAAAGATTTCTTCAAGAATATGGACAACAGTGAGCATCCTCTTCAGAACATTTTTAAACAACAAAGTGTCTTCATCGAGAGGCTTCTCCAAATCCGGTACAAGACAGACCACTACAGAAATATCCTTCATGGCTACAGATATCAAGGCCTACAACAACTCAATGAAAAAATAAAACAACCTATATTTACTGTTCCCTTTGAGATTGATAAAGTGTTTTTGAAATGAATTGAACTGAATGATGTAATGTGGTCACCAAGTCTTCTAGCAGTCTAAGCCTATAGCAGCAAACTATAGGGATAACTCAGGATTTTGTCCACCATTGAAAATGCTAACAAGACACTATGATGTTTGTGCCTTAATAAGAAGTAATGTAAAAAAAAAAAAAAAAAAAAAAAAGAATCAAAGAGGTGAAAATATGTATTTTTTTGCAATTCAGTGTACGTATCCCATTTGGCAACATCTGAAAATCAAAACATTAAATATAACTTAGGTTAACAGACAAATTACCTTGTATCATCATCAATAGTCACTTTGTCCTTTTGCCATGTAATGACAGGTAAAGGTACTCCCGTCATCTGGCACTCGAAGCGAGCAAATCCCCCAATAATCACCGTCTGTGGAGATGGCTCCTGATAGAGCCTGGAGAGACCTAGGGAGTAAAAAGTAACATCAGCATATTTATTTCAAACTAGAGATCTTCTTATTAACACAACTATAGGATCCAACAAATTTTGTTCCAACAGTAAGATAGGATTTATGACTGATTCAAAGCTCCCTTCTCTTTTATAAAGAGATACCGTAATACTATTATTATTTGGCATAAAAAAAAGTTGTTTGAAGAGTTTCAGAGAGGTTAATTATGTATCTTTAAATGCTTTTGTATTTCTTATTTCATATAACAGATAATTCATGGAGTTTTTTATTTATTTATTGTCACTAATATACATCCCTGAGTACTTATGAGATGCACCAGATGGCAGCAGTGAGTAAAGTCATTGAACCTCTGGCCACCTTATGCTGATGGGTGTAAAAAATAATGAACAAAACAGTTTAACATATCCCTGATGCTGAAGCCCTGACTGAGATGCAAAGTATGGTGATGGATTAAAGCTGAGAAAGCACAAAAAGGAGCAAGAGGAAGAAAAAACAGGCATTAAAAAAGTATACAGCGAACAGAAAAGAAAAGAAAATCTTAAATTAGGCTCGTGCAGATTTTTCAGTTTTCTGTTATACTCACTATAAGTGGTTGAAAAGCACTGAAACTAACATTATATCAGATTGTGTTCATTGAAGTGTGAGAACATAACAATGAGGCATCCCGATAACCAAATAATCAGAATCTTCTCAGACATTCTTCCATATTACTGTATCATATTCTCTGTCTGAACAGAGCTGCATTACTAATTTACAGTAAACTTGTGGAACTTTTTTTCAAGATTATTTTAATTCTTATTTTTATTTTAATTTGAATTCAATTTATATGGTCTGACCCATCTCATTCTCATGACACAAACAGGCTTTGATTGCTGATGCTGATTTTGATACACAACCCGTACAAACTATTCAAAAATGGACATGATGGGTCCTTACCTTTCAAGAAGAAGAACAAGAATATGTCTAAGTCATAAAAAAATCTTTCAAAATAAAATAAATCTATTTTGGAGAATAACAAGTACAAGGGCAATGACATTATTTTTTAATAAATGTGATACAGGTATCAATAGGACTTTTGTTATTGGTCAAAAATAGAAATTGTAGGAGTTATATATAGAATGATTGTCAATATAACTGAAAATATTATAAAAAGCATTTAACAGAAATACGATAAATTAGGGTATGAACAGAGCATGGGGTGAGGTTGCACGTCTGTAAACATCTACCAGATTTCGTTTGCTGGATTGTTAGGAAAAAGGCTTGAGAACTTTTACTCACCATAGTTTACCTGTTAGTGAAAGTTTAGCCCAAATGATAAATTGCTTCATTTAAGAATGTCAGTTTATATCACATTTACTTTCCTTCTTGTGAGTCCATAGTTTTTATGAGTGCAATCAGTGGCGCAAAAACCGGGTATGCAGTGCATGCAACGCATAGGGGCGCTGCACTCGAGGGGGCGTCAAAGTACCCCTCTAGAATATAATTATACAGAAAAAGAACAACTAATTTATAATGCTTTTGACCATATGACTTAGTGGAGAACTCCACAGACAAGGGATGAAGGAGACAGACATGAGGTTGGTGATAGAAGAGACAAGTGAGGACATCAGGTAGGAATAAAGACATTAGGGAGGCAGCAAAAACATATATACTGCAGCAATGCGGCGTGGCATGGAGTCGATCAGTCTGTGGCACTGCTCAGGTGTTATGATAGCCCAGGTTGCTCTAATAGTGGCTTTTAGCTCTTCTGAATTGTTGGGTCTGGTGTATTGCATCTTCTTCTTCACAATACCCCATAGATTTTCTATGGGGTTAAGGTCAGGAGAGTTTGCTGGCCAATTAAGAACAGGGATACCATGGTCCTTCAACCAGGTACTGGTAGCTTTGGCACTGTGTGCAGGTGCCAAGTCCTGTTGGAAAATGAAATCTGCATCTCCAAAAAGTTGGTCAGCTGCAGGAAGCATGAAGTGCTCTAAAACTTCCTGGTATGTGGCTGCGTTGACCCTGGACCTCAGAAAACACAATGGACCAACACCAGCAGATGACATGGCACCCCAAACCATCACTGACTGTGGAAACTTTACACTGGACTTCAAGCAACGTGGATGAAGTGCCTCTCTTCTTTTCCTCCAGACTCTGGGACCTTGATTTCCAAAGGAAATGCAAAATTTACTTTCATCAGAGAACATGACTTTGGACCACTCACCAGCAGTCCAGTCCTGTTTTTCTTTAGCCCAGGCAAGACGCTTCTGACACTGTCTGTGGTTCAAGAGTGGCTTGACACAAGGAATGCGACAGCAGAAACCCATGTCTTTCATACGTCTGTGTGTGGTGGTTCTTGAAGCACTCACTCCAGCTGCAGTCCACTCTTTGTGAATCTCCCCCACATTTTTGAATGGGTTTTGTTTCACAATCCTCTCCAGGGTGCGGTTATCTCTCTTGCTTTTACACTTTTTTCGACCACATCTTTTCCTTCCCTTCGCCTCTCTATTAATGTGCTTGGACACTGAGCTCTGTGAACAGCCAGCCTCTTTAGCGATGACCTTTTGTGTCTTGCCCTCCTTGTGCAAGGTGTCGATGGTCGTCTTTTGGACAACTGTCAAGTCAGCAGTCTTCCCCATGATTGTGTAGCCTATAGAACTAGACTGACCATAATGGTTTGAATTTCTGATGACCATCTCTCACTGTGTTCTTTTTTGGGAAAATTAATGCAGGCAAACATGGTGAGTCAATCACCACAAAGGAGAATGTGGAACAGAAAGGTGCAGATGAGGGAGAGGAGCAGAGAGGACCAGATGATGAAGAAGAGGGAGAGGAGCATAGAGGTTCACATAATGAAGAGGGAGAGGAGCAAAGAGCTGCAGAGTAGAGTGCTGAGACAAGGCTTTATTCAGAAGATCCATCTGAATGGCCTTTACCACACAAAATGGGGGACATATTTCGGCAGTACATGGTTGAAAATGGCCCACCGAAAGTTTCTGGTGGCCCATATCCAAGAGCAGAGAAGAGTAAGAGGTGTTTTTTCAAAGGATACTGTTTTTGTTTACTGTCTAATGGAGAGAAAGTTGAACGACATTGGTTACTGTACAGAGGGGGGCGCCGATTTTGTGTTTTCGCATCTACCTCAAAAATATGTAGTTGCGCCCCTGAGTGCAATAAAAAGGATAAAACTAACAGAAACATTTTGTATCAATAAAGAATTTTACTTAGATATTTTTTATTTATATTATTTTCTAACAGTAAGTAACCAACTGAAAAACTTTTGCTTTCAACAAGTGATCCTGGGCGTAAGTTCAACTGAAGAAACTGATTACTTGCCCTTACCCGCCTCTGAAAAGCCAATAAGCTTTGAACCACACCTCAACTAAAGCCAATAAGCATCCAGAGTTCATCTTAAGAGGGTCTTCAAATCCAAACCGCAGTCTGCTACCCGGCCAAAGCGCAAGTAGTGGTTGATCTATATCTGACTATGATTCAGTTGACCCCGATTCAACCCACTTCCAGCCCCTCCTCCACCATCGTAGCTAAAGCTTCATCAGAATGTCATTCCTCCCGGACTCTTACTGCATTGCCTTCCTTGTCCCATCTTAACCAGTTTGGCAGAAGACCGCAATGTTGAGCCTGGTTCTGTCAGAGGTTTCCTTCCAAAGGGGAGTTTTTCCTCTCCACTGTCGCTTCATGCTTGCTCATAATGGACAGTTTCATGCAACCTGTGTTATCCAAGCTGGACTTCCATCTTTCAGATCCCCTAGTGAAGCACTAGTATCAGCTCACACAGTCCTCTGGATCTCTTCAGCCAGCAGTCTGACCACCTTCATCTATCTTCACTCCACCAACAGTTTCAGGCCTGTAGGGACATATTCTTGTTCTGTACTCCTGTTAATTCAAATCAAAGCAAAAGTCAGCGCCTATATTTCTTGCCGAGGTCTAAGTGCCAAAGATGAAAGTAATAGCATTAATAAAATTCTTCTAATTGTCTTTTATTTCTGAGTGAGTTTTCCAGATTGAAATGACCTAAATTATCTTCAAAACTATTTCCAGAGAATAGACTTAACTTAAGAATAGACTTAAGTTTTCTCCAGCTTTTCTAAGCACATGGTTGGTAAAAAAAAAACTTTTCCCTCCCTTGCCCAATGTTCCCCATTGCTGGTTGAAAGGATGAAAAAAAAGTGTATTTCCCTGGCTTAGAAGAAAAACAAATTCTGCTCTGAAAATATTTCTGGTGATCTAACAATAGGAAAGTCGTGGTTTGAAAAACTAAGGAAGTGGCACCTGTGAATTCTATCAAGAAATAAGCCAGATGTTCACATGGATTTATCCAGCCCTCAAGAGCCAAAACAGGCACATCATCAATGGAAAGAGGTATGTTCTCTTAATGTTAACAAAGTGTCTAAAATTGCAAAATAAATGGGCGTAAAGTTATAAAGTTGTAGTTTTCTATTTGTAAATGAAATAATACTATCAAACGTTTCATTCATACATCTACAAATGCCTCTTTAAAACAATTGATGATGCAGAAATAGCCCTCTACAAAAATTGAGATAAACACCTCTGATATAGGCCATTTAATATACAGGTGCTGGTCATAAAATTAGAATATCATGAAAAAGTAGATTGATTTCAGTAATTCCATTTAAAAAGTGAAACTTGTATATTATATTCATACATTACATACAAACTCATATATTTCAGATGTTTATTTTGTTTAATTTTGATGATTACAAATGACAACAAATGAAAATCTCAAATTCATCATATCAGAAAATTAGAATATTACTGAAGACCAATAAAAACAAAGGATTTATAGAAATGTTGGCCAACTGAAAAGTATGAACATGAAAAGTATGAGCATGTACAGCACTCAGTATTTAGTTGGGCCTCCTTTGGCCTGTATTACTGCAGCAATGCGGCGTGGCATGGAGTCGATCAGTCTGTGGCACTGCTCAGGTGTTATGATAGCCCAGGTTGCTCTAATAGTGGCTTTTAGCTCTTCTG